AAGAGAATTAATCAAAACATTAGAAGGGAAACAGGCACCTCAATATGATTTGTCAAACTCACAATTTTAGCTTTGGTGCCTTTTGTGATCACACAGCAAGAGTGAAAGTAATTAACAGCTCTGAAATGGAAACTGAAGTGTGTAAATTCAGGAGAAACTGTTGTATGACTAAATCTTAAAGAAGTCTGAATTTCTCTCCCAAAATGCCTAATCTTCTACATAAAAGTAACTATAATAGATAGATACTTTATTGATCCCATGAGGGAAATTGCAGTGCAACAGCAGCTTTACACAGACAACACAGACACAGTGTAACGAATGATACAATAATAATAATACAATACATACAATACAAACAGTAGAAGAGTTACTCGCAGTCCAGAACACACAAAGAACAGAACAGTACACAAAAAAGTTGTATTGCACAATATGACTATAAATAAAAAAATATAAATGTATTGCACAGGTCCCTGGCATATATTGCACAGAAACAGTCTTAAAAGAAGAAAAGAAAAAGAACAGATGCATCAGTTTACTGTTCAGTCCAGAAACAGGTCACCGTCAATGTTGCCTCTGCCCAGACGCAAGGTGGATGCGTTGTACAGTCTTATGGCAGAAGGCAAGAATGACCTCCTGTAGCGCTTCCTGTCGCACTGTGGATGAATCAGTCTATTGCTGAACGTGCTCTTCATTTCTACAAGCCTGTCATAGAGGGGAAGGGAGACGTTGTTGCTAATCATTTGTAACCTAATTTTGAAACCCAATATTTTTAGTGATAACAGAAACAAAATCTGTCTCACTGCAAAACCCTTTGGCTTGCTTGCTTGCATGCAGAACCCACACACCATTACTAAACCATTTAGACAACCAATTTAAAATGCATAAAAAATAAGAATTATACATAAGCATAATTATGTATTGACATTTATTTGTGCACTTTCAATGTGTTGTCAGTTTGAAACAGAACAATTGCCTGTGCTCAGGTGGCTGGGAATTAATGAATTTAGAACCCCAAAGCTTAGTTAATAGGCTATGATTTATTAATGATGAATTAATTATACCTTATTGTGCAGTTTTGCCAGCTAAATGGGACTTTAAAGGTTTTTTTATTAATCATCGTAGTGCTAATTACAGACACTTACAGAAGGCCTGCTAATTAAACATGCAACCATATGCAAGACAAGCAGAGCTGCTGATAACTGCAAGAAAGCCAGAGCAAGTCAACACCAGCAAAACTGAGCAGCTCTACAGAGGGCTGTACCACTTTTCGTGACTTACTTTTTAGTTATGCACATTTTTTACATAGATGTTGAAATACTAACCTGTTTGCCGTAAAGTGCAACCCAGATACATACAGTATGCACGTTGTAGAAAGTATTAGATATCTAAAGACTGATTTTGAAGATTCTATCATACCCCTATCAATACCAGTCTGGCACACTAAAAACCTTCATGCTTCCATATCAGACAATTGTCTTATTTCTTCTCCCATAAAACTATTTCCTCTAAAAATATTAAATGTTGTTTCAGATTTGAGAACACACATCGTCAATTAAACACAAAGTGCAAACTTATGACCCATTGCTAACGTCTTGGATAAGACATCATTTTAAAACAAAAACACAAAAGCTGTTATGTTTTTATTAAGTCAGTTGCTTGACATTAAAAACTACATGCTGGCAAAAGTTATCTAAGTTATCTAACGATTCCTAAAGTTAATAACCTTTTTTCCCTCAACTAAGATACCTATAGCTTACATATAACTTCGTTGTACACTGTTATGTATGCAAAATATATTTATTTTGGCTAGAAACATAAAATGCTCTGTTAGCCAGAACGATTTAAGAAACAAATCAATTTTAACGTGGCAATACCTTTGCAACATGACACATACATATAGGATAGCTGTTTTCATGGAACTGTGTAGGGATTAGTATAATACACAGATGTTACTAACTCAAAAACCTTTCTTGCACCACAAGCTTCAGACTAAATAATGGAAGCATGCATGTCAGACTGGCTACTTCTCAAAATTGAGGAGTACAACTTAATTCTCTTTCTTGTGCAGTGTCTGGATGTAATATCTGCATTCAGAATCAATGAAGCATGAACTGTTACTGTTTGCTGTGTAGAAAAGTGAAAAAAAAAAACTCTTTTTGTCAACAGCCATTCTCTTTTTCATTTTATTAGACGTTCTACATCAGATCTGTTCTTCCAAAACACACTTTAAAAGCTATATGTTTCATATTTTTCCATTGCTGTAATCATTATTTTTTAAATAGGGCAGAAGGTTATTGACAATGACTGATGTTCAACGAAAATCAATCTCCACTAAATACTTTTCCAAAACCATTTTTAAAATACCTGGACTTAAAAGTAGATCATGTTTCGATCAATAACTAGAACATTTTATATTATTTTGTCTGTTTTGGAAGAGCTGCAAAATATGCAAGAGCTATTTGTGAACATGTTGCTGCAGGTTCCTAACTCCTAGAAGAGACAATTTAATGGCATACCAAACATGAGCATTCATCTCAAAATAAAGGCAAGGTTGTTTTCATTGATTGTTGGCCTTGTCCAAACTGTACGTCATTGGGCCATTGTGCTGAAGCCAGTGCTTTGTGTAGATAAAGCAGCAATAGATAGCCAAACGAGTTTCAGAACCATTGCCTGCTATTTCTTCACAGGTACAGGGGCAGATGTTTTGCACAGATATTCTGAACAACAAAGAAGGGGTGTAATTTTATATATACATACATAAGGAGAGATAGAGAGTCAAGAACACCAAGAGTTCTTGCTCTGAGCTCACATATTTTCAGTTGCCAAAAATACAGTAATCTTGTTATAATAAGAACCAATACTACTGTACCATGAACATAATTGGATGAATAAATGATCAACAGTACTCAAAACGTTCATTCCAATTAGATGCAACTAAATTCATTACTTCAGAAAACGTGCTGTAGCAAGCCTCAGTACTGAATGTGGGAATCCTGATTTACATCCCAAGCACTAGAACAATGAGGCACACTCCTAATTAAGGAGTTATTAAGGTCTTCAGCTTTTTCTGTTAGCATAGCAACCAAATGTTAATTTCTCAAAATGTTTCTTTTGGGGGGGGGAGGGGGGATTCACAATTTTTGCAAAAGAACGCAAGCATGCTTAACGGATTAGGTAAATACAATCCTGTATATAAGTATGCAACAAACAGTAACTCTTTAGAACTTGAGACCTGATAATTTTATATAAATTTAAAATCATGAAATGAAAATACAGAAATTCAAACACATACTGTAAATGCAGATACAGAAGTATGAAGTTAATTTCATTTTGAAGTGGCAGTTAAATTATCTATAAAAATATTCTTGAAGACATCAAAAAATTTCTGTAAAAAATGTCAGTATTTCAGATACTGTATATCTGATTTAAAATCTACCGCCAAAACTTTCATCGGTACAAAATTCAGTTTTCTTATTATCTAGTCGTCAGTGGCTTCCTGCATCTCAAAAAACAAAATATATATATATATTGCTACCTCTCATGGTTCTCTGTGGGCTGGCTCCAAAGCATTTGATTTGTAAAATGAAATCAGTTTGCTTAGTGCCCTGTATCTTCACTTCACAAGATTGTTTAAGTTGCTCCCACTCTTTGAGACCCATGAATATTCCTACACTAGCTCTGTTTTTTTAAGAATTAAGGCTTTTAATCACGTTTGTTTTGTCTAAATAAATCAACTCGAGGATCTTTATTAATATATAGTATATGGGATTGATCTTGAATTGCTTTTAAAATATCTGGGTATTTTTTCTGATATTGTTTAAACATGTATAAATCTCACAAAATACAAAATAATTCATAAAATTTTTCTTAAAATATTGTCCTGCAAATTCCATTTTTAAATTAATGTAGTAATTAGTAACTAATTAATTATGGAACAAGTGATAGGTTTATTCCATGCTGAAAAGAGATGAAAGAAAACACAAAGTTTCCGCTGTGGAGCCTTCTTCAGGTGTGAGCACCAGAACTACTAATTAATTATGCTGATAATTAGTAAGCATGATAGTTAAAAAAACATCATATTGTTTAATAACAATATGCAAATACTTTATAAATGGATGCATGATAATAGTTTGAACGTTTTAATTTTAGAAAGTGTCATTCAGTATCTATGTATTTATCAAACCTTTTAATTGCAAAAACTAAAAAACAATTACATTAAAATGAAATTAGATGGGTATATCCTTAAATATTTAGTACTTCAAGACAAATATTGTGGGAAAATTTAAAATGGAAAAAAAAAACAAAAAGAAAAAAGATTTCAATTTAACTGAGGCAAATTATCACCACCAGATTTCTTTTATTTCTCAGTTTCCTAATGAATAACATCTTATATTTGCTTACTATGAAAATTCCCTTCTATGCTTTTTTTACATTGTTCAATAAAATCTTCTATCAACTGCATTACATTACAGAGAGGTGAAAACTTAAAGAAATCAAAACAAATAAATATTCTGGTGGTGCACTTAGGTTCTGAAAAAGTGTAAAAGAATTTTTACTTTTCGACTTTGCACACTGTTTTGTCTCATTTCTGTTTTTGAAACCATGTATCATTATGTGGAAAGTCTATGTCATTTCTATTTACATATAGAGTAAATATTTAAATGGATATTTCTATTTCCTGGGAAAAGCCGACTTTGGTAAACAATTTCAGCAGTTAATGCAGAAAAAATGGCCTTTCATAACTTTTGGAATAACTGTTACTAGTAAACGAAATATAAAGTATAGTTATTTTCTGAAACCTTTGTAGAGAGTAAAACAATTCCAAAATAACATGCACTCAAATTCAAATGAAATTATGGCAATTTCAGATTTCTCAGAAACAGCAAGATCATGAATGGTGCTCAAACTGTGGGGATTTCAACTGCAGACACTACTCCAAAGCCTTACAAAGGGTCTGTAAGGGAAATGCAAACAGAAAAATGGTTGTGTGGTTTATGGTGCTCTTCAAAAAAAGGGAGCAGTGCCTCCCTTTCATCCTTCTGATGTCACTCAGCCTATATAAAGACAATCTGCTAAAAGCCCAGGAGGAAAACCATTCTCTGACTAACCTGTTGTAGACAGGTCACACCAGACACTGGATTTGAATGACAAGAAGTTTTAATACTGCTTTTCTTAGCCGATATTTTTTCCCAATTAAAGCTAAACTGTGTTCTGACACGTGGAGGCTGAAAAGATTATTTTTCCTGTCCTCTGCTCCGGAGGTATAATTCTTTCCATTGCAGATATGTCTGCTTCAGGCTTGAACAACAGGGCGAAGAGCCATTTCAGTCTTCAAGAGGAACACGAGCTGGAAGGCATGGAGAAAGGAGCCTGGGTGAACCCTGCTTACAATGCCTCTCCTCCAATGTCCCCACTGAACATCAGCACTGTCTACAACCCCAAGCCCACTTTGGAGAATCCCTATGGAAACATTAGCAAGCTGGATGTTCCTTCTCCTTACTGTGCGGACATCAGGGCTCTCGAACCTTCTGGAGAAAAGAAGAAGTCTCCCGGTTGCTGTTTCTTTCTTGCCAAAGGAATACGAGGTAAGAAAAAGCAGTCAATGCTCATAATAGTAGGAAAAGCAATCTATCAATTACATTTACATATTACTTTCCATGCCAAAGGATCTCAAAGTGCTTTACTATTGTAGGAGATGACCCATTTCTTCCACCACTGACGTGCTGCACCCATTAATCATCGAACTTTAAAACTGACTTCCATGCAACTTCAAGTATGTACAGTATGTGAAGACTAGGATTCAGTAAATACTGAAGGCAAACCTTTCCCGATTATGAAATCCATTACGATACATGATTATGCTAGAAATCTCAGGAGGATCCTTGTGATTTGTTATTCTCCTTTACAGCCTGCACCCCCAAATAATCCATCACAAAGTACACAATAATTCAATAAGAATGCCACTGCTTGAGTCTGATACAATTATAAAACAATATCATAATCCCTTGTTTCCAAAAAATCATAACACTGTGTCTAGAATACAAATTGTTTGAGTAACAGGTTCCTATCTTATTATTAACTGTTTAACTTTTTCTGTAAAATGCTAATTATCTCTGCTGTAAAATGCTAATTATCTGTGCTTCAGAAGGTGCTATTTCACATTATTTAATCATGGTTCTTAGTATTGATTGAGCAGTAGTAACTTTTTCTAGGTACAACAACAAGAAATGTCAGATTTTAGAGTACTAATTTTTAACCATATTCTCTAATAACGTCACTGTTAAATATTATAACTAATCAATGCCTAAAGCAACAACTTTAAAAGGGTAACTAAAATTGTCTTATAAAACAGTATAGCTTTCACTAAGCACTTTTTATTACATTTATCTACTGTATACCAAAAATGTTTGACATGCATAAGTTTGAGTGTCATGGTCAAAGGTCTAACCAATAATACTTTCCCAACATTATGTAATAACAATTCTGTAATAGGGATTCTTCAGATTTCCTAAGGTGTATGAAGAAAAAAATATTTATTTGCTTACTTACCTAAGTGAAAAAACTTTTATTATTAGTAAAATAATTAGTTTTACATGCAGATAAAGGTTCAAATTACAAAATAAAAGCTCTTGAAAATAAAGTCCTAGCTATCTAGATGAGGTGTCAATAAACCATTATTCCAGAAGTAGAATGTCTCGATAAAGCAGTTTTTCTCAGTAAGAACAAATAACATTTTCCTGGATAATAATAATAATAATAATAATAATAATAATAATTGCTTACACTTAAATAGCGCTTTTCTGGACACTCCACTCAAAGCACTTTACAGGTAATGGGGACTCCCCTCCACCACCACCAATGTGCAGCATCCACCTGGATGGTCACACTTAGATGTTCATATTGTAACGCATTACAATATATTTGGTTATAGTCTCAAATTTAAAGAATGGTTGATGATGATCAATTATAACATAATTTTAATGAAAAATTCTAGGTGTACGATAATTGTTATACCAAACAATATCATTTCACAAGTATTTGTTTGTTATTTCTTAACCTCCTTCATTGTTTTATCTTTGCTCAGGCCTATGGGGCACAACCCTGACAGAGAACACCTCAGAGAACCAGGAGCTGTATCTCAGGACCACCCTGAGGGAGCTGCTGGTGTACATTCTGTTTCTCATCGATATCTGTCTGCGTAGGTAACACAGTCCATGGACAGAACAGTCCATGTGAAACCTGGAAATGAGGAGTGCAGCCTGTTGACTTGTGAAAAGCTTGCAATGTATACAAATGAGTGAGCTGTAAACCGTACTTTTCAAATAATTCCAAAAATATTACAAAAAGTTTATTTTGTTGTGCAGGAGAGTGCACTTCTAATATTCAAATGTTTGAGGCAGTTGGGGGAAACCCAATTGGACATGACTTCACATTAGAAAACCAACAAACACACACTTCAGATATCTTATTGCCATGATGAGAGATGAAATATGTGTAGGATTGGATTCTCTGTAGAATGTTTTAGTGCTGCTCTGCAGTAGTACATCTCTTGACGTAGATCTAGAATCTACATCTCTAGATCTGCATGGTATCTACTCTGGTGGATCACCAAGAACGTCACTTTCCCATCATGGGTTCTATAACAACTTAAGTGAATAAGCCCCTGCCTTGTAAAACATTAAAAAGCTAGATAGCTGGTGGGCTTATGATTAACACACTGATGAAATGGAAAAAGTTACTTTATCTTTGACTGCCTAAACACTGTACTCTTCATCAGCACTGGTGACTAAGGCATTTGTTTTTCTAATTAAGTGTGCATTGCAAATTAAGGTGATGTATCTCAATATTATTAAGTAGAACTTTGTAAAAGTGTGAAACTGTTTTCAAGCACTTAAAGGGTATTCATGTCTTTCTCTAGCAGCAAAGATCAATCAAGTCAGAGCAAACTTCTAAATTCAGTCCACTGGTTGCAGAACGACCAGGGGTGGGCAAACTTTTTTGGCCCAAGGGCCACATTACATTTTGAAACTGTATAGCGGGCCACTTGAGGCTGCTGTTACAGAGCCTATATTATAGAGTCTCAGATGACATATTTGTTCTGCCTGTCCCACAGATGAATGGAAAGTCTCTTTGCACACCACTGTTGTTTTGTGACCATTTTGTCCTAGTCATTGTCATCTGTTGATTTGCTTCTTTTTTACAAGCAGCGCTAGTGTCACGTTGCACCTCCTCCACCCTGACAGCCCTGAATTTAGGAGATCATTGTTTGGCAGAGCCCTGGCAGACTGAATACCAGGTCCTGTCAAAGGGAATGGAGCCGCTGGTGCTTCGTGCTGATAAGACCACAGTTGGCTCATATTGCCTTTTCTTTCTTTTTTCAGAATAGATTTATGGATTTATTTGACAACACCATTTGCAAAGAGCTTTGTACTTGCTGCTGAACCAATCAGCAGGAATAATCGGAGGACTTGTTTTATGACAGGCTGCTATCTCTGAAAGACATTCACAGAATGATGTCATTCCTTGAAAAACACTGGCATTTGTTACATTTGGAGGAGGGAACAATATCTTTGTGCAGCTGAGTCAAAGCTGATACGCCTTGTTGTAGGTGTCCAAGTTGAGAGACATATTAAAAACTATTACTGTCATCTTTGAAACAAATTCTTTAGAAAATCTTTAGAAATTTTGATATTTACCATTGTTTACTTTTTAAAACAAAGATGAATTCCCCATTTCAATTTAATTGATAATTATGTTGTAATGTCAAACAATATATTCTGTTCAAACAACAGCCTTATAAATGCAGTGATTTGTGCTTTTTCATCCATCCATTTTCTAACCATTTCATCAATGCAGGGTCACAGGGGAAACTGGAGCCTATCCCAGCAAGCAATGGGCACAAGGCAGGGTATATCCTGGACAGACTGCCAGTCCATTGCAGGAGAGACACACAGAAATGCACCTATTCACACCTAGGGACAATTTTCCCAGAAGCCCATTAACCTTCCAGTAGGTTTTTGGGCTTTGGGTGGACACGGGACTCAGAGCAAATCCACGCAAACATGGGGAGAACATACAAACTCCACACAGATACAGTAACACCCCAGGTCTGGAATTGAACTAAGGGCCCCAGCGCTGTGATGCAAAAATTCTGACCACTGCATCACTGTGCCACCCTGATTTGTACTTACACAGCTGCAGAACTGTGTGTCATATACTGTATATATGAAAAGCTGTATCTCTTTTCTTGATCATTTTAAGTAACTATTTACTTGAATGCAGTCAGATGCAACCTAACATATCGACAGAGGTCTAAGTATTACAAAATATAAATTTTATTACAGTGTGGGACTGGAGTGTCGTAAACATCACCTCATTTTGTATCTTGTAATTATATTTGCTGTGGTAAAAGAATGGCGAAGAACAGAATTTTGTGATGTTAATATTTTGGTACAAAAAAGGGAAAAAAACAATTTGTGTCACTCTTAAAGGGGTTAGTGATACGTTTTCATCAGAAAAAAGCTAAGCTATGAAAATATGAACTGGTTTGAAGGTACGTTATTCCTAACTTAACTGCATGTTTTCATTCTAGTGACATATGGGATGACCAGTTCAAGTGCCTACTATTACACTACAGTGATGACAGACCTGTTTGTGAACACACCCAGTGATAATGGAGTTACTTTTCAATCCATTGGTGATATGGCAGACTTCTGGTCAGTAAGTATCTTGGTATGACCTGGAAACAATGAAACAATAGTGGTGAACATATGGTATATAGTACTGTACAAGTTTTAAAATTATTTAGAAGATACAGATATACTCCAATAACTCGACTGTAGAAGGAGTTCTAATATTTTGCCCTTAACCCACTGTGTTTGTTGGACAGCTGCCTGGCCATATGATGTGGAAACCAAAACCAGACTAAGAAATCAAGTAGCTGCTGCACTGGTAGTAGATTGGGGATGGAGGAGGGCATTAATGTGAGGAATGCTGGGAAAATGTGGTCTAGAGCAGTGGTTCCCAACTGTGGTCCTGGAGGAACACCGTATCTGTTAGTTTTCACTCCAGCTGAGCTCTTAAAATCTGATGATTAATAACTTAATTGATTGATTTCCTTGTTTAGGCTTATATATAAACAACTCATCTGAATCAAAAAAACTGAACAGACTGTGTTCCTCTAGCAGCAGGGCTGAGAACCAGTGATCTAGAGAACTATAGTATATTATAGCTTAGAGCCATTAACTGGCAGAGTGGAATTAGGTATTTTCCTGCTTCCAGGCTATGGTTATGAACTATATAAATATTATATATATTATATATATTCTTCTAAATATAAAAGGGAGGAGCGGTGGCTCTGTGGCTAAGGATCTGCACCTGTGGCTGGAAGGTTGCCGGTTCAAATCCCACGGCTGGCAGAGGAATCCTACTCTGTTGGGCCCCTGAGCAAGGCCCTTAACCCCAACTGCTTCAGGGGCACTGTACAATGGCTGACCCTGTGCTCTGACCCCAAGATTCTCTCCCTGTCTGTGTGTCTCATGGAGAGAAAGCTGGGGTATGTGAAAAGACAAATTCCTAAAACAAGAAATTGTATATGGCTAATAAAGTGATCTTTAGATCTAAAGTGAAAATAATGTATTAAGTAATAATGGTAAAATTATGGATTCCACTAAGGGATATATTCATAACATTTACCACCATGCTGTTTATTTTTACATATTTTAGTTTATTTTCTAGCAATAAAGCAACAATACGTTTCAAGGTTTCACATAATTCTTTCAGAATCACTGCAAGTGTCATTAGGTTTCATTGATAAGATAAAGAGTTCCCATTTAGTTTTTCAGAAAAGTTATGAGTATATCTCTGTCAGACATATTTTGCTCTGTAGTATTTAAAAGTGAAATTTTCCATGCTCTACTGAAAATGGTAGGGACTTTGAGTACTTTTACTAAACGGGTTTTAGTTTATTGCTGTTGTTGGAACTGAAGAAGAAAAGATACTTTTTAAAATTGGTATTATTTTTCTGCAATTAGGTGTTTCTAAGCAAATAAAGCTCTTTCATCTTTTAAAGATAGTAATTGTTTTTACTACTCATTTTAAGAGTTGCATTGAGTGCATCTACTTATTTATTTACAATACATACACATAGGTGAAGAAACTAAATAAAGTATATACATATGTTTTATGTTTAACTCAGAACACATAATGAATTTGAATGTTTAATAGAAAAGTGAAACCTACCTCTGTTTAACCATCTGAATACAAAAGCACAAGCTTCTTTCATTAAGGGATTCAGTTTATTTCTACAAAAAGAAACAACATGAGATCAGGTGTCACAATCAGACAAAGACAAGGTGTTTGTCTAAAATAATCTTTCGGCGTGCTTTTTATTTGAAATGCTTAACTCCAGAATGGTCTGGGAGTACTCTACAGCAGCTGATAATTCAGTCACCATGGAAACATTTTTAAAGAGTGGTCAATTACCAATTGACACAGTCACACAGATGCTAAAAAGAAGGAAAGTTTCTTGGAAAAAAAGAGGTCCCAGTACTAGCACGATAGTTTTATCATTTTTTTATCTATCTTTGTACACAAATAACACCTGGTAGGTGTCAAATATGTTACCTTATCATGTCCAAGAAAATACATGATAAACACTTAAATCATAAGGAACAGAACAAACACTTTGTATGTTTTTACCCCAAAACACCAAAAATATATAAAAATGTGTCCTCACCTACAGTGAACAATAAATGATTTTATTCCACACATGTAGCCTGAATGCAGAAATAGAGCAGCCATTTTTTTTTCAAATTCACTTTTTCTATTGATACTAGCAAGACTGAAAAAACATAAGCATATTGCCTTTTTATTAGAATAACAGCACCACCTAGTGGCCACATTTTTGTTTGTGAAAGTTGACATCTGATTAAGGGGTAATCAACTCGGCTGAGGAAAGCTGCTTCTAAAAAGCAATGATTTACAGTAACGTGTTTAAGGGACTACCTCTTTAAAAAAAATAGAAGAAGACAGTGGGAATAATTTAGAAAAACTATTTGAAAATCAATGTCCGTTACAGTCAGTAGTGAGTGTAAGTACTTTCGAAAGTAAAACATACGTTACTGCTTAAGAGCAATTTCCCCGTTTTTTTTTAATTTTAAAAATAATCCCTTACAAAAGTAACTTTCAGCTTTAATGATTTCCTTTACATGAATGCTTTTTGCTAAATGCCTCTTTCCTGCATTCTGCTCTTTCCGTACAGTTTGCCCAGGGCCCTTTGCTGGACGGCCTTTACTGGAGCAAGTGGTACAACAATCAGTCGTTAAGCAATGGTCCTCACTCCTTCATCTACTATGAGAACATGCTGCTCGGGGTCCCTCGAGTGAGGCAGATCAAGGTGCAGAACAATTCCTGCAAGGTGCACCGGGACTTCCGGGCGGACATCTTGGGCTGTTACGATGTCTACGATCCACAAAAAGAAGATACTGTTGCGTTTGGTCTTATTAATGGAACAGCGTGAGTACCAGCTCCATCGGGGTAGAAGAAATAATCTTTACCACCGAATGTAAACAGAGGTGGCCGGCCGCCCATTAGAACACCAGATACGTCGCTGTTTCTGTTACAGTTCACATGTCTGGAAAAAAGCCAGACTTTTAAATAAGAAAAACATAGTTCTCTTTTCTTTGTCTTTCCCAGTTAACTGCATCTTTTGTTGGTCATTCTGCTGGTAGTTAATTCAAAAGGTGTCTGTCCCAGTTCTAAACCTTTTGCACATGTCAGCTGTTGAAATAGTTTGTAAAATCATTAACCCTGGCCTATCAATAATAATGTTTCTGGTGTGACCGAAAATTTCACAAAGATTTGCTACATCCACAATTCTGTCACTAAGTGCTGTGCAATAGTCAACATACCCATCATAGTCCAGTAATTTGCTCAAAGTGGCAAATTGGTCTTTTTGCCCCTACATTAGCTGGCAGTACCATACAGAAGATCAAATGAATGGATCTTCGCAATGGGGATTACTGGCCACCTACACTGGAGGAGGGTACTATCAGGATCTCAAGATGACCAGGGATGAGAGTGCAGACATCTTGATGACACTCAAGAATAACTTGTGGTTAGACCGGGGCACAAGGGCAGTCTTTGTTGACTTCTCAGCTTACAATGCCAACATCAACCTGTTCAGTGTCATCAGGTAAGGGGAAACCCAAAAGGAGCCAAAGACCTCTTCAATTCCTCTTATATTTTTTGTGGTATCATTAATGATAAATTCTAAAATGACTGTAGGATTGAAAAATAACAGCTTTTGACAAAAGTTAAAGTTCATTGTTTCAGTCATTAATCTCCCTTCTCCTTTAGAAACAATGTCTTTTTTTTGTCTCAAGCCTGTTGGTTGAATTCCCTGCCACTGGGGGAGCAATACCATCGTACCAGATTCGGACAGTTAAGCTCATTCGATACATCAATAACTGGGACTACTTCATCGCTGGTTGTGAAATTGTCTTCTGTGTGTTCATCTTCTACTATGTGGTGGAGGAGATACTGGAATTGCGGATCCATAAGCTGTCCTATTTTACCAGTATCTGGAACATTCTTGATGTGGTGGTTATACTGGTAAGAACTTACCTACTTTGAACATTTACTAAATATGAAAGATATCAGGGAAACAGCAGTGCGATTCTGGTTGGAGATACAGTATGTGTGGTGCAGTGTGTGTAACAACAATAGAGCCTGTGAGCAATACTACTTCTACAGCACTGAACCATATTAAACATTTACTGTATACAGCTCCTAGCTTTGTTTACTGTATGTACCAAGTCTATTGTTCTGTAATTTAAAAGTTGTTTATGTGGTTTATCAAGTTTTTAAGTAGTTTTTGATCTCATTTCATTCATTTAACTGTGTACTGACAGTAATATTTCTTTCACAGCTTGCTATCATAGCAATCATATTCAATGCTTTTCGGACCATTAAAGTGAACTCGTTACTGGGGAAACTTCTGGAACAGCCTGATATTTATGCAGACTTTGAATTTTTAGCATTTTGGCAAACCCAATACAACAACATGAATGCTGTTAATCTGTTCTTTGCCTGGATTAAGGTACGTTTAATAGTTCCAGTACTTTTACATTTCTATGTGGAGCTAGAATCATAAAGGTTGAAAGAATCAATATAAGGTACAGAAGCTTTGGCTAAAATTGGGAAAAACCCATTTTCAAATTTGTAAGAGTTATAATAGAGCTTAAAAGACTGAATCAGTTTAATCTAATGGGAAAGGGAATTTTCAAACGATTTTATGATCACGTTTTTTCAATTTTATCTAGTTTTTACTCTTGCAGTGTATACTCCAGAGATTGTGTAACTGAAACTCTGAACACAGATTTCCTCTCCTTCAGATATTCAAATACATCAGTTTCAATAAAACAATGACCCAGCTCTCCTCCACACTGGCTCGCTGTGCCAAGGACATCCTGGGTTTTGCCATCATGTTCTTCATTGTCTTCTTTGCCTATGCGCAGCTGGGCTACCTGCTTTTCGGAACCGAGGTCCAAACTTTCAGCACCTTTGTCAAGTGCATGTAAGAATTGACAAAAATTACATTTTTGTGATTTACAAAAACTTATTTTTAAGTTAGCACCAGTGATCAGTTATGCCCTTCTACTTATTTCTTGCCACAGTATATGGTACTGTATATATTTTATTTAATCAACTTTGAATCTTAGTTTACCTTTGTAAATACCATTTCAGTGCACCCGTACCTCTTTTTACAAACAAAATTTGTTTTTTAGAAATAATTTCTTATAGCCAAAATTCATAAAAAGAAAAAAACTATTTAGATAGATACTTTATTGATCCCATGAGGGAAATTGCAGAACACCAACTGAACTGCTGTAACAGACTGCCACTACAGTAGCATGGCTCCATCTTAATTACCACCACTTAATTTCCATTATTTCTTATGGGGGAAAATTAAAATCCGTTCTGAACCCCAAAAATGTCACCCCGACTTTACTTTTTTCACCAAAAAATGACAAAAGAAGCAATAATGACTAACATTCATACTGTAATTTGTGTTTTTAGTAATAAAAAACACTGCTTACTTAGTAAGACATCTTTAATCATACCTCAGTACAGTACTGTACAGTGACCACTTCATTTGCTTTTTGTGTAATTACACACATGCTCACAATTTTCATTTTCTTAACACTTTTAGAGTTCATGATAATGTCTAAACCACAAATATTCTTATGAAAAGTAAGAGCGCACACAAAAGTGAACAACACAAGAAGCAAGACACAGTGAACTCTATCACCCCTCTCCTGCCACTTAGGCTCTGTGCTAGCTCTTACTCATACTGAGTTAGAGGAAGGTGATTCGTACACTAAATATGAAACGAGTCAATAACGCTTTCCTCTTCACTCTTTACATTTGACGGAGGATTGGAAATATTTCTTCATATCGCTTTTTTGAATTTGGCTTTTGTTATTCAGAATGTGGGTAACATTTGGGCAAACCCAATCCAATAACAATTCACATGCTTCATAGTACCAATTTGTTATAAAAAAGAACATTTGCAAACAGAGGTACAGCTGTAGTTTGTTTAGAAAACGCCCCCTCACTTTTGCAAGGAATGGGCCAGGTAGCTGCTGCAAGGGTGTAGATAAGGTGGTAGGGAGAGAAATGCACAAAGAGAAGCCCATAAGGCGAGATGTATATATGCACATAGGAAAGCAGAAAGTGACAAGGTTAGGTTCTAACTGTCCTCTCAAATGACTGTTAGAAACTCCATTAATAATGTGATGAATGGATTCCTCTCATGATTTGACTAGTTACATGTTGAGTTGTAAAGTCATTTATTAGCATTGTTCTGTACCCCTCCCTAGTTTTACCCAGTTCAGAATAATTCTTGGAGACTTTGATTACGATGCAATTGATCAAGCCAACCGGATCCTGGGTCCAATTTATTTTGTCACTTACGTATTCTTCGTCTTCTTTGTCCTGCTTGTAAGTCATTTTCTATTTTATACCTTCATTGTAACATTTGGACAAGGCCAAACTTTTCTTCTGTGTTGTAATGCTGATAAATCTGTTTTCTAGAATATGTTTCTGGCTATAATCAATGACACATACTCGGAAGTCAAAGAAGAACTGTCAAAGCAGAAAGATGAGCTTCAGTTAACTGACTTTTTAAAACAGGTAAAAAAAATCTGTAGTACTTATATATAATATTTTGATGTAATATATTTGTTGGAATCACAGTTGTATATAAATAAGAAATACATCAAAGTTTATAATCACTTAGAAAGTTTCTAAGTCTTTCTGAAACATTTGTCCTTTGGCCAGGATGCCGTGTGAATGTACCACTGTTTTGAAGACTCATTGCTTAAAATATTGTTTGCAGGGTTATGTGAGAACTTTGATGAAGCTGAAACTAAAAAAAGAAAAAATCTCTGATGTGCAGAAGGCTTTACAATCTGGATCCAAGGAACTGGTATTTGAGGACTTTAGAAACAGCCTGAAAGAGTAAGACACTGCTATGAAACTTTCTTTAAATGAAAATACATACAATCTATACACCTATTGTACTCTGCAACCACTGACACTTTAAAAGTGCAAAAATGACCTTGTACAGCAATTAGCTACAGGAAGAGCCAATCAGTGTCTAACCCCCCTGCGTACAAACCTTTTCCCCTTAGGATGGGGCATGCCGATCAAGAGATCACTGCCGCCTTTACAAAATTTGATCATGACGGAAACCAAATACTGGATGAGGAAGAGCAGAACAGGATGAAACGAGAGCTGGAGGAAAAGCGGGTACTGTAGAGAGGGAGAGTCATCTGACTCCTGTAGCTTTTTTATTTCAGCACCAGATGGCGATGGAACAACCACAAAAAACAACGTTTACAAGAACTAGTCAAGCTGTCTTGACATCCCATATAGAACAGCCGCTATTTGATGATGGATTTTTTGTAGTTATTATTTTAGCTCAACTCTGTCTGTTTCTATATACATCATATTTAACTTTCCTAAATCAGAGAAAAATTGACTATATCATTAATAGAAATTGACAATATAGCTATTGTTATGTAAAGGGTGACTAAGTCACGCATTAAGGGTCTGCTGCAACTCTTACACTGTTGGTTACATTATAAATGAAATAACAATGTACTGCTAGACAGTTTGTGTTAAAATGTTGATTTTTAAGCTGTTTTTTTGCAGGTTGCTCTCAATGCAGAAATAGAACACCTGGGAAGAAATTATGGCAATAATACACTGCACCAGTCTGCAGACATTGTTGATGTGAAGAACAGCAATATTAATAAAGCTGCTGGAGTGTCCCATGATGAGTTTCAGATGTAGGTATTAAAAAAACGGCTTTCTAGAGCTGCACTGGTATGTGATGTATTAAGAAGTGTCTGTCGTAGCTCAGTGAAAGTCCTCAGAAGAATAAGCAAGGGCAGCAGATGTCAAATATCTCACAAGTGAAATATATCATGAAATATTTCAGATCTGCTTAGCATTGACAAAATTACAGGTTTTGGGATATAGTACACAGAAATGGAAGAAATAGGCAAATTAAGGCTAATGGTAACTAAACTGTTTGAACAACTATTTTAAAAGTTTTACTTTATGAATATACAATAGGGATGATTTTTTAAATCATTTTTTAAGCTTTGTTCTATAACTTTCCACCTAGCAATCTTGTGTAATTGATGAAGCTTGAGTAGGGAGCTTCGTCAGCATGCGTAGGCTGCAAAGGAACGGCTAAAAGTTTATTCCAAACTGGAAGGAAAAGAAAAGAAGCACAATTTTTCAGCTTTGGAGCCTTCTTCAGGTGTGAGGGAGCGAGGGAAACTAGAAGATAAACAAATTGTGCAATTGATGTTCATCACTGGATCACATGGAACACAATTGGCCAGCCATTCCTCAGAACATAAATAAGAACAATTTGAGAAATCCAGCGCAAAGTACATTCTGTCACTTTTACGCAGACGAAGGCACGGTGTCCACTTAGAAACTGATCTTCAAATTTGTTTTTTCAAAGGCTGTTACGCCGGGTTCTGCAGCTGGAACATTCTGTTGGGAGCATCGTGTCCAAGATCGATGCTATCACGGTGAAACTCGAAAATCTGGACAGAACCAGAATGAAACGGAAAGATGTCACGGGAACACCACTAGAGAATATAAGTGAAGTGAGTTGTTTTTCCATACCTCCAGATGCTTTAGACTCATTTTTCGCTGCAAAATTTCTCTAAAACAAACTTTCACGGATTTATACCCAGAAAGGGTTAAGAGCATGTTTAGTTGCGTTTTAAAATCTGTGCATGAAACAATCAATTCATATTAATTAATAATTAGTTTACCACTGTCGAGTTCATTAGAAAGCTGTTTTTAAGCAAATCTGTTGAACATTCAGATTGTTAAATTAAAAAAAAGGCACAGACAGACTAAAAACTAATTTATCCAATCTTTTACTAGGATGCCAAACACAGGAAAAAATCCATGGTGTCGTTTCACTCAGATAGCCTTCATTGATCTTTGCTGTAAGAGGGCATTTCTCTTGACTTTGGTGTGTTTCTCTAGGTTGAGATGGCCAGAAATCTGGATGGCTTGGTAAACGATCAGATAAACACCTGGGCCACGGCAGCATCACAGGGGAAGGCTTTGGGCGGGACAACACATGAAACAAAGAGTAACCTTTATCCCAGAATAGGGTGGCCTGGAACTTTAGACTCTGCACTACCACCAATGAAAACCAGCAACCATTCATAACTTTAAAGCAGCTAAAATCATTTCAAAGGCCAAGTTTAACTTTCAGTATCACATGTATAAAATCTAAGAGACGAATTCTTAATCTAAGAACAGACATTTAGGAAGGACCTTGCTAAGTGAAAATGGGAGGTAAAAGTAGAAATAAATGAAAAAAACAATGATTTTAGTAATATGAAATACATTGAGACAAATGCCTAAATTATCTGCGTTATGGTTTGTTTTGTTCTTAAATCTAAAACTATTTTTATTTGCTTCAAGAAAGAGCAGACATGAATTCCCCAAAGCTTACATACTTTGAGGCTTTTATGAAAGAGAAATAATCAAATTATTAAATTACTCTAAATTAAATAAATCATTTAGGTTGTTTGTGATTCGTTTAATGATTCTTATTTAAATATTTTCATAACTGTGATGCCACCTGGTTTAGTAATTGGAAACGTATTGTCCTACATTCTCTGTTACTTGTAAAGTTCATCAAGTTTGTGATCACTATAAATTACACAAATATTCACAAACAAAAAATCCCCATTTGATTTATTCCCACTTTTCTGCTCAGCCTTGTACCTTGAAGTAGAGTCTGAAAATACCAAGCTCTTCTGTGTTTCACCATGTTATGAAGCACTAGTGGGAGAGATGCATTTAAACTTATCTACACTCTTTTCAATGTTGACTTCTATCTAATACAAATGTGGTAGAGTCTAGCTGACAGATCACGTGCTTTTTATCAAGCTTGTGGTTAGTGGAGTAATAATTGCTCTCAAAGGAAGCAAATACAGTAGTTTCAGTGTCAAAAACTCTTCAGCTACTTAAGCAGGTATTTGCTAGAGGAAACAAGGAGCCTGTTGCTCAGTTTTCATTGAGCTTTACTGCACTTTATTCTTCTTTCTCCTCTTTACTCCGATTTTTCCATGTTAAACTATATCTTTAGCAGACAAAAGTGTCATATGTGCTTAGGTATTGTGTTAAAGTAACTATTTTTTATATTGCCTATACTCACAGGGATTGCTCCCTTCCAGAGACATTTCCATTTCCATTGAAAGCTTTTAGACTTTTTATGTAGTGCTCTAGTTTGGATGTAAATTACATACAGTATATGATGCAGAGGACTGAACATGAGCAGCATTATACTACTAAAGATTACGATTTATACCCAATGATGGCAAAAAATACATCATACAATACACATATACATTGTGTTATATTTTTAGCTAAATATTTTCTAAGAGTAATATATGTATATCATGCAACATCTGTGTAATTTATCACAAGCTGTTTTGTCACCAGTGGAATACTGATGTAGAAACAAATGTAGATACCATTGTTTTGTGAAATGACAAACTTCCCTTCGAAGATGCCACAGCAAAAATACACTTCTGAGGTCTTCTTAGATATACAACACCGTCCATTAATGTTCATGTGTGATTAGTTACAAACACTGGATAAAAAAAATGTTGCATGTATTTTTTTTAAATATCACACTATCCCTTTTAACATTTCAGGAAAGTTTTTAATCTTTATCAGCCCTAGCTAACTTTCTTTGCTCTTTTTTACTTAAATAAGCCTCCAAAAGGATCTCAAAGTGCTTCACCTTTCATCTGAAGTGTGGCACCTAACTGGGTGAAACACGGCAGTCACAGTGTGTCAACAGCCCCACTACACTAGATCAGCAGGAAAAGTCAGATACCACTTCATGGACTGAGTTAAGGGAGCATTTTACAGAGGCCAGATTGTGCAACCCCTGAGGCACTGGGATTAAGCCAGGACACCACTGTTAAAACACCCCTTCTCGACTGACAAGTGCATGTGATGACCAAGTAGTAGAACTCCCACCCCGAATGTCCCTGGTCACCATGGGGGGACACCAGTCTGGTCAATTTGATCCAGAGGAAAAACGTCATCATTTGCTGGTCCACTTAACACCCCTGTAGCAGCAACTTTGTTCTCTTTAGAGGTCACCCACCATTGACCAGGCACAGCATGGCTTTGCTTGGAAGATCTGAGATGATCAGATTGTGAAATGACAATGCTGTTGCACACAAATCACTGACCAGCAAAAACCAGGTCACCAAAACATTGCAATGTTCCTAGAAGAGAAGAATAACTGAATGTTTTTTTTAGGAAAATAGAATGAGCTTGCTGATTATTTCTCTTGTTCAGAGTACTTTGCTAAGGCAAACAGGGAGACATCAACACAGGGAGGGGGAAAAGCCATGGAAAAACTTGTGCGTCTCCTTGTTGTAGAAGTGCCAGCTGGAAGGTGGCCAAGCTTCACCTTTGATAAGTCTCTTCTTCAACACATTTGCAAACTGTTCTGAATGATTTAAATAGTTACTCCACTGTGGCAGTGACCAGGTTTACCTCTTCCTTCCAAGTAAATGCTGGTTATGCTGTGTGTGCCCTGTAATGGACTGGAGTTTCACCCTGGATATAGCGCCACTGTTCTCTACCCTTCCAGGACAGGTCTCTCACAGTGTAATGGTTTGGTGCTAAAAGGCTGCAAACCAGACCATTTTGAGAAGTGATCATTAAATAATCAAGATCACAGTAGCCGTAAAAAAATGTACAGATTGAGGTCTTTAAATAAACAAACATTTTCAATGCTTGCATTTTGAATGCATAAAGAGGTTACAACTAGACTGCAGACTAGTCCACACAAAATGGCAAGCAACAGCAGTGTTTAAAAAGGGATAGTGGGACAGATGTATACAGTATCTTCATATTCTTTTATGCAACATTCTGTTGTGAATTATGTGTCTATTCGGGAACACGTTGTTGAATGCGTCCGTTAATGCCTACCATCATATAATCAATTAAATCCTGTAGTTTTATTGTGCTAAAATGTATTGTAAACTTTTTCAGAAATCTTCTGTAATGTGTGTCTTCTATGAAAATGGTCAATTTATTTTATTTAAATAAATGTCGTAAAATTTACGTTTTAGGATTTGTACTTTATAGACAAATGTATGTCCACTCTCTTATTGCCTACTATGTTAAGGTGTATCATGAAGAAAAAAATAACACAAGATATTGCTCGACTGAATTAATGATCACCAATTAAGGGCGATAACAGCTTGCTTCTTGCTTTACTTGTAAGCTGACTAAAAACGTATGCGATTCATTTTCAAAGCTAGACAAATATAGTATACTAAATCATGCATACAGGACACCCAACATTGAAGTATGCAGAAGAATTAAAACCAGTTTGAACACTTAATCAGTGTCCAACAAGCATTTGAGCAAAAACATTCCATGAAGTGCATGGATATCTTTCTACAGCAACCAGTTTCCTCTTGTGTATCCTCATTTGACTCACACCCTTCACGTGGGTTTGGACATTACTATATGTCCAAGAACATTACAGTGGTCATGGACAGGAATGTTAAAATATGAGTACAATGTAATTAAGTTTTTTTACCCTTAGTCTTAATAAATAGCTTATATCTATGAATGACACAATAAGGGACTTTTCTGCATAAGATTACCTTGATCAATTTTTGACTGACATACCATCTAACTTCCACAGTAAGACATACAGTAGGAAAGGGGTTAACTTTTTAAAATAATATTCTGCAATTTTTCAGGCCTCAGTTATACCGTATGCAGAGTTTAAAAGGTTTTAAAGAATGCAAAAAAGTTCATATTATAGATTAAGCTTTTTCCAGCATTACTTCATACCAATGAATAACTAAGACTTTTCATTCTATCAGAATACACAAATTTTAGGGTTTTAGTTTTTTTTTGCCTTTCTATCTCACTTGAATAAACAGTGTTATGTAAGCGAGCGCAAGAACTTGACAGACAAAACGAATCAGATTGGGTGAATGTGTTCTCTGCACAGCACCGTAATATACATATTACACAGCTATTCCAAATTGTAAGCATGTACAGTACATTTTCAGAAGAATCATTCATAACAGCTCCTCATGCATGACATAGCAGGTGTCATGCCCAGGCTGGGAGTGGCTCGAACGTGCGGTTGCCATGGGGAACTACAGCGTTCTCACTAGCACTCACCTTCCAGCCAACCCTGCGTGGACAAGACTGGGCCTCTGGTTTGTCCGGGCAGCTGCCTTTCAATCAGGTAGCCAATCTATCTCAATAAATCACCTCTGTTAAGGGTTGATTCACCGCTGGACCAATGTTGACTTTGACATACTCTGCTTATCTTGTCATTCAGCTACATGCTCAACGTTTTCTCGCACGACCACCAAAGACCGCTTCTCCTATCAGCACCAGTGCAGTTGTGCAGCTGTTTTCCTTTATCCCGGGCAGACCTGTTCCCGTCAACCTGTCAGCCTGTATCGGGCTGTTCCCGTCAACCTGTCGGCTTGTGTCCCCCAGGCAGCCCTGTACTACCACCAAAAATTGGGACCCCAGAGAGAACCCCATGAATATAATGTAAACTTAAGTCTAATCCTCAGAGCATGGAGATGGTTTGTGATGAATCATGGAGTTCATTATTATAGTGCAAACATTTAAGGAAGCAACTACCTTTCTTGATCTCAATCAATGTGGCTAGCTAACAACTGTCCTACTGCATTAAATAGCTTACAATGCACTCTCAGTTTTTGCTTTTTGGAAATAGGGACTGTCTACAACAAATTCTTACCAGATAGAAAGTGGTCTTCAACTTCATAACTAACAAGATCAAGAACTAACTTGTTTTTGCTCCACATTCTCCATCTTTCCTCTCCCTCCCATTCTCCCACATTCTTCCACCCTGGGTGGTGCAGTGGCTCTGTGGCTAAGGATCTACACCTGTGGCTGGAAATTTGCCAGTTCATATCCCGCAGTTAGCAGAGGAATCCTACTCTGTTGGGCCCCTGAGCAAGACCCTTAACCCCAACTGCTCCAGGGGTGCTGTATAAATGGCTGACCCTGGGCTCTGAACCCAAGCTTCTCTCCCTGTCTGTGTGTCTCTGTGAAAAAAGACAAATTCCTAATACATGTAATTGTATATAGCTAATAAAGAGATCTTACCTCATCTAAGCCTTACAATTGCTACTAGCATCAGCTGCTTGGAAATATAAAAATCATTTAACAATAACAATAGAGTTCCAGTAACTTCATTGTTCAGCCCCCTAGTAATATTGCTTGACTGCAATATGCTTCTCAATCATAAAGGCTTGATCTAACCTTTTGCTTATTTGCATGATTACTAAAAGTCCCCTTGAGTGATTAGTTTTGGTTTTGTAAAGCATATACCAATTAATGTATGCATAAAAACCACACTCAAGAACATCTTGTTGAACAGATAAAACCAGTTTGACCATTTAGTAACTATCTAACAATCAGTGAGAAACAACATTCCTGGACAAAAACAGGGAGGTCTCTGCGGCTCTTTAAAACAAATTCCTGTCATGTATCTAAATTGGCTGACTCCCTGTCACATGTGTTTGGGCATTGTGCCATGACAAACTGCCCCTCTTGCTGTGGCATAATTACCAATCCAACACAGTGGCTGATGAGTGTAGAAATAAGTCTAAAGTCAGGGCCAAAGAATCAAAGAAATAATTGTCCAAATATGAGGGTTCATAAAATTGTTGAGTCTCCAAATCAAAAGACATTATTAAGTCAATGAATAAGGGAGACTTTTCTGCATAAAATGTAACACTCACTTAAAGACCTTTTACTCTGCTTTTGCACTATGCTTTTAATGTATTCATAATTTAATTTATGACTGGAGCATACATTTAAAAAGTCATTAGACTACAAAAGGTCTCATTATTTTACACAACCTTTTATAAATGTGAACAGTTCAAACAGCGTTATACTGATTGCAGAGATTAAAAGGGTATTTACAAGAGTAATACAATAAATTCACATTTCAACCAGTCTGAGAAACTGGGACTGAGATTGAGGGAGGGCTAGGCGATAGGTGACTGCATTTATTCCAATACTATGTAGGTTTTATGCTTTGTTTGAGCAAAAGACAAAAGCTGGACCCTATGCAGGAGACAAGAAAACAAGAACCCGAAAACCAGGAAGCCAAGATCCGTAGTCAAAAAGTATCAAGTCCAAAAAAACAGGAAGTCAATCCAAAAGACCAATCGGAAAACAAGAGCCAAAACCGAAGTCGAGTAAGCAAGCCAGAAGACTAGAAAAACCAGGAAGCAGTCAAGATACCAAAAGGCTCTGAAGTGTCTCACAAGAAGTTTAACCCAATACTGAGCAGGGAGGTGAGCGTGAGCCAGGTTAAAGTAGCCAGGAGGAGGGGGTGTGTCTGATTACTTAATTGAAACTGCACTGGAATGCAGAGAGCGTCGGGTCCTCATTGGACGTGGTGTGACAGGTGTGTCCGAAGGTAGAGCTGTTTAGTGGATATCCACACCCGTTGCCCTGGCCTCAGGGGTGGAGCAATCCTGCAGTGGTGGTTGGCTGTCCTCTTCTGGCATTGTATGGCCTTGGGAAGGTTGGCCTGCACCACCTGCCAGACAGCCTCGTGTGGTACTATCAGTGGCAGGGACATCCGTTGGGTCAGCGGACATTCTGAGAAGAGAGGGTTGGAACCCCTACTGGCATTCAAAGGGCGATATTCCTGTTGATGAATTGACCAAGATGTTCCGTGACAGGCCCAAGGAAAATGAGTGACTCTATCATCCTGAAAGGAGGAAACGTGGCATCTCAGGTACGTCTCCAGGTCCTGATGGACCCACTCTGTCTAGCCAAAAGAGATCAATCTGGATGCTGAGCATCCGACAGAAAGCTCACCAGAATCTGGAAACAAAGTGGAGCCCTCTATTCAAGACCATGGAGATTGGGAAGCCAAAACACTTCTTTAATTAATATCTCCACCATCTGAGGGGCAGATGGCAGCCGTGGGAGAGGTATGAAGTGTGTGGCCCTTGAGAACCTGTCCACCACAGTCAGGATTACCGGGTGGCCTTGTGATAAAGTCTGCAGAGAGATGCTGCCAAGGGAGTTCTGGAACTGGCAGGGAGAGGAGGAGGCCTGCCTGGGCTGAAAGAGAGTTCCTGGCCTGGGTACAAGTTGATTTGAATCGGCCGAAACGTTGTGTTTTCTGTCTTCTTTTTTTCAGCATGGAATAAACCTAGTACATGTTTTAAAAATGTCTATTATAGAGGCTCTAATGGATTTGGGCAAGGAGTTCCACAAAATTAAGAAATTCCCACACTTCCTAATAATACAAAATCTCCTTCATTAAAAACTAATTATCAAAATGAAAACATGTATTAAGCTACTAATGAATGAATAAATCTACAATGAAGGCAAATAAGTTCTGAGGAGTATTTAGAAGCACAGCTTTTTAAAAACATATAACATACAGTGTACGTGATATATTTGAATGAAACATAAATTCCAAATAAAAAGAGTGGATATTATGTCTTGCAAACAACCTAAGCAACGGCATAGATAACAATGCAACTGCCGTGTAGCTCAAAAGTTTAAAAAAAAAACAATAACAGGTATTGCATGACAAGAGATTTTAAGGCAGGACCAAATGTTTCCATAACAAAAGAAGAATGTGTCATGTACAGTAGTTTATGTTCTGTCACTACTACAGTACATTCAAAACCTCTAATGAATATTGCTGTATTCTTGTACATATATTTCCTGTTTTTTTTAAAAAAAAATCTCTAGTATTTTAGAATTTACATAGTTAAACTTTGGTTTAGTTTTGTTTTTAAAGAGGATTGGTTGACTCTGTAGAACAAATGGGACTGACAGCCCACAGGAGATAATCACGTGTCAGCTACGCCTGCTGTTTGAAGTCAATTGTGGTTTTGCAATTTCAGTGCGTGAGAAGCCGATTCAATTGGCACCGAGTGGAATGTCTTGTAAAAGTGAAATAAAATATAATTTTTGCGGATTTTACGGAGAAAACTGCTATGTTGGAAAACAGGTGTAGCTGTGGAACTCTAAAATTGATTTTAAAGATAAAAGGATACAGTTATAGGACATGGGACCAATCCATGTCCTCAATATCTACAGCCTAGCAAGTCTTTTAGGTCCCCCTAACATTATGCATCTGTAAAGACTGAGCAAAAGATATCAAAAGAATTACTTTTGATCACTTTTGCTAGTTAGTTAGGTCAGTAGGTAACGAATGACAAATTGGGACCACTCAAATACAGAGAATAGTGCACTTCACTGAATCACTAAATTGAACAAATTATTTTTTTCAGTGGTCAAAACTAACAGTAATATGATGATCTTGTTAAATGGGTGATGAGACTGGTTAGGTAGTGTATGTGAAAGCTTGGCTGGAAGAACTAGAGGAAACCATAACCCATTTTGAATGGAGCTCAACATCCCTGCTCAAGTAGTGCACATGTGCTCAAGTGCAAATTATATGTAAGAATATACTCTAAATGATCCCTTCCAAACCATGGTGCTCCATATACTACGTTTGATGCCAGTGATAACAAATGCAACCAATAAAAACTGAACTCCACACTAATAGAAAGAATAAAATCTATTTAAGAATGAGTATGGGAGGTGAAAAAGGAAGTTCAAGTTCAAAGAAATGAAAATGTGAGAGAATCTGCAAATTAATGAAGAAGTTTTAAAAAATGCTGATCACCAGGAGCTGGGGGAAGGCGTGACTCTAGTTTAAGAGTTTGGGCTTTGAGGGTATTTCTGGAGGAATTGTTTTGTAATGAGGGATCCCAGTAAAAGAACAGATGCAGATAGATGAGTGTAATCATGCTCAGTAATTTCAGTTTGCCCAGTGCCTCAGGGTAACACATAAGCCTAAGATCTAAGGTCATGTCTACGGTCATATCCCTGTCAAGGTGAGAAACGTCTCTTTCAACATCTTCAAATGTTCTACTTCAACATCTTTAAAAATGAGAGGAACCACAAATGGCTGAAGTGTTAATTCATTAATCACTTTGGACCTTTCTTGAACAATTCCCAAGGTGTAGGCAAAAAAAAAAACATACTGCAAATCAGATCTATATTAAGAAGAACCACGAAGCTCAAATGTGCCATTTCAGCATTAAAATTGTACTTTAATTGTACTAAAATTGTAATCAGTGTATTCCCTGTGTTTGCATTTCTTACCCTTAGTGAGCAGGAACATGACTCTTACCCAGCAAATTAAGCAATACGGCAAGACAAAAATGCAAGTGGGTCTTAGCACAAAGCAAATGACAGGAAATGAAAGAGGGAAGTATATCTGCGGCACACATCTCTAAACTAAATGCCCAGTGCAATGTTGTGCACCTTCAGGGTAAAGTAATTGATCTGAAATAAAAATGTATATTTCTGCATTACACAAAGCAATCTGAATCTTCTTCACTTAAACATGGAATTACAACCTTACATCAATTAGCCCTATTTTACAATCTTGTTTGCATACCACGGATTGTATCAATGAAAAACGGTTTTAAAAATAATCCTTAGCAAATTATTGCTTCAAAGAAGCAGTGATAAACGGGTGTGACTTTATACTGTGGATATACTGGGTTATTTACAGGTTCAGTTGCCAATGTCTAGAACGATTAACTTTAAACATCTTTTAAAATAAAATTTAATGTAGTTTAAACAACTTGAATTCAGGTGTTTTTCAATCTCTTATCGATAATCTTTTCCTCGGAAAATGTGACTTTGTAATAAAGGTTACTCAAAAAAAGTAAAATATTTACCTTTATCCTTTACGTTTGAACACGTTATTTACTGTAGGTATCATTGCATCGTGCTTGAAATACTGCTGCTTCGACTGCTGCGATGCTGTGCTGCATTTGATTTCATACACATCTTAAAAACTACAAATTTCCTCTTCACCCCACCCTCTTTGTTTTAAAATAATGAAACCTCTGAACTGAAGCGTATTTCTAACTTAATATACTGTAGGAGTCAAACGTATCTAAAAAAATGGGGGGGACTAAGCTGTTGTCAAGGTCTGACACGCAAAAACAGAAAAGAAAACTATCACCGGAGTCTCTTGGCTTTGCCTACAAAGTCAATTGCTTTCGGTGGCCTATGATAGTAGTTTCTTACGAAACAAAGCGTGAGAAGAGAACTCGCAGCATGCAAACCAGAAACCCGTGTTTCTTATCTTATGTAAACAATGTGAACACAGGAGCTACCTTGCGGTGAACTTGCATTTGAGACTTTATTGGATTTCATGCATAAAATACAAGTTTTTCCTGACTAAATTAAAAACATGATAAAGTTCTCAATAACGAGGAAATGCGTGCCTGTTTTCTTGCAATACCGCAATTGCAAGAATTCACAAAAGAAAATACCGTTTTATCCTCGTTTTACATGCTTTTTATTACACTTCAGAGCAAACGTCTCTTGTGATCAATGTCAAATGTACAGAGCAAACTTCGTTTCAATAAAATATGGATTATGCAACTCAGCTTTTACAACAGTTATACAACGTTACGTCCAATTGCAATATGACTCCCTACCGAGACGTCACTTCTCTCGAGGCATTCTGTGGTGTCACAAGCATATAAATAAGAGGAAAGGGGAGAAGGATATCCAGATGTGGCTGCTTGCTTGGCGCTGAGACAAGAAACTGCGGGATACAGTTTGTAAGTTACAAAGCAAATCTACAGGAAAAAATTATAAAGTTAGACTAAACGATAGGTTGTACAGGTAGCTTTTGTCTTTATGTAGGAGTTTAAATGTTTCCCTTCATTTTACCGTTTACGTTGATATTTTGTTTCTCACCTATAACCCAATTTTAAAGAGATGGTAAGGACGGCGAACAAGCGGTTTTTATTTTAACTGCACAGAAAAAGTGCAATGCTGGTCTTTGATACTAAATAACAGGATTAAGCACCATTATCTACATCTTAATTATAGTGACAATTGTAACCATGGAGCAGTAATGTTGGGTTTTTGTTGCATGTTTCACTTTCAAAGCAGCTTACAACAACAAAAAAGTGAATATGATCGGTTATCCGCAATGTCTGGTTGGCAGAGACTTGAACTTGTAACCGAATAACGTGATAACCTTTTTTTGTACGAACATTAAAGGTTTCGGTATTTGCTTAGTTTCTTTTAACCTTTGAGGTATATGTTAGTAAATCATAAAAATAGCTTTATATTCTTTTATATGCTTCCGACAAAAGCACGAGGAAGCTACTCGCTGGCTAAATCATATACTTTACCCAAATGATTTTAATGTTATGCTCTAAATAAGAACATGTAACCTTTTTGTTTGAATGCCAGTGTATTGCTAGTAGAATGCTACTTTCTATCATTGATGCTAAAGTGATAGAAATGTTATCAATTACTAATCACTGTTTTAGTGGGTGGTTTAAAAAATGCGTTTTCTACCGTTATGAAGAGATACTAACACTATCAAGTAAAATGCAAGAAATTGTATAGGGCTAATAAAGAAATATTATTATTATTATTATTATTATTATTATTATTATTATTCAAATGTGCACCTAATCTAGAATGCCGGAAATTTCATCGGCGTTTTCACAGACAATAATAAGTTCTGCTCTGCGTTAATTCCAAAATATTTAGTGTTCGTGAAAATCTGTCCTTTTAAGGTGGCCTTTCCAATACAAACCTTCGCTGCCAGACAATCCAGTATGTGAATTTTGATCAATTCTTGTAAATCATTAACTTTATGTAATCAAATCTTCATTTTAACGTTAGTTTTGCGATCCAGCTTCTCCTATGCAATAGTATTAAGATGATGTTGCAGTCGTAAATGGTTACCTGTATTACAAATGCAGTTTACAGTGTTGAATAAACTGAAGTTATAGGCTTTTGAGCAGAGAATGGTAACTTCGCGTAGTCAGACGTTTCAGAATGATCGACGTTTTAATATGTTCCAATTAATTCCTATTATGTATATATACAGTGCACGTATGATTCGTTCATGTTTTGTGGTTTACAGTACATGTCTCAAGTGGTCAAAAGTGAATAATGCATAAGGGTACCGCATGAATAAATGGGAAATGTCAATAATTCTTACTTGCAATCCGTTAATATACAGTATATAATTCAATCTTTCTTTTAGGAAGTACAACTTCATATTGTAAAGGTTTATTCCATGCTGAAAAGAGAAGAAAACACAAAACACCTGAAGAAGGCTCCACAGTTTTTTCACAGTGTTTTCTCTCTTCTCTTTTTTCAGCACGGAATAAACCTATTATTTGGTCCTTTGCAGCCTACGCATGCTGACACAGCTACCTACGTGAACTACTTCATATTCTAAAACTTTGTATTTTGTATTAATTGAGGTGTCCACGCATCCGTGCTCCATAATCGTTGGGCATTTATAAAAATTGATAAATGAAATAACGTGCCAATGGTTGCCTTTTTTGCCTTTTAAGTAGATAGTCCGACATGACGTGACCTTGCTACTTGAAAAGCCCCATGAACTCTACACTTTCCATGTGAGGTAGAGGAAAAATATGTGGTATTGAATTCGAGGCATTCTGCGGTGTCACAAGCATATAAAGTGGGTGATATTTTTTTTTTGCTAGGCAGAATGGCCAACAAAAGCAGCAGAACGGAACCTGCCAGTACGAACCTACCCGGTGTTGAACTTCAGTCCCACGACAAGCAGCAGCCTTCGAACAGCAGCGCTGTGGTCGCCGTCACGGAGGAAGAGGAGGAGCCGACTTTCCAGCGCGCGGTGCCCACCAGGGAGTCCCTGAGGTGCCCGCGAGGCTCTGTGGTCTCCTTCCACGACATCCAGTACACGGTGAAGATCTCAAGTGGCCCCTGTTGCAAACGCAAGGTGGTCAATAAGAAAATCCTTCACGGGGTCAAGTGAGTTTCCACCTTTTAGGAGTCTTACAAAAGCTTAAAAATACAAATGCTCCCTCTCGGAAATAAAATGATTGTTCCTCCTATATTAATACGGTACTATTAATACACTATTCTTTACCTTTTCCGTTTTGTTACATGCTATTCGGCTTTCCATCCTGTTCTATACTATTCGCATCAGTACTGCACGACTATAAATCGTTACTTTTTTCACAGAGACTCTTCCTGGTGTTATCATTATTCTGCAAAGTAGTCTAATGTAAATGACCTCATCTGTAGATCATGTGTAGTAAAGTGTAAGGGCAGCATTGCCAGAAAGGGAAAGGGGCTGTTGAAGACAAGGTCTCGCAGATTTCCAGTGCTTTTTTTCTATGCGTGTGCTGTGTAAAATACACGCAAACCAAAGTATTGAAAGAACAAATTATCAGTGAAACTAGCCCAGCAGCTTCATTAGAACTTTAACGGTTTATGATCATAAAGGCACCCTTTCCTAAGCCATCTCATAGAAAAATGAAATAAAGGGAATGTTGATGTATAGTTGACTAACCTGTTTAAAAATTAGACAAAGGCAGGGCTTGGAACTGAGGACAGTAGCCTTCAGCGATATGTGACCATGTAGTATCATCCACAAATTCTCATTACGAAAACGCGACCTGCTTGGGTAACCGTCAGTGACAACCCAAACTGGCATTGTAGGGGGCCTGAGGCTTGGCTCTTTAAATACACAGGGATTAGATCTGTGTGATTGCACCTCCTTGCTACCAGCGCTTAAACGTCTCAATGACTGTAACTGCGCTTCCAGAACTGGGTGACTGCAGTCGCACTTATCACTTGTCCGCTGTGTTCTTGACCCACTCCTGATCGGTGCATTAACGCCCGCTTGTGGAAGCAAGCGGCTCTTTCTTTACGGTGCCATTATCGTATCCAAGTCAGAACCTCGTTGGAAATCTGTAATACTGAATAGGAAACGACCATTGTCTAACCTTCTAGTATCCGCCTTGCAATTGTTCGGCATGGTTTAGATTTACCCTCTTTTTTTTTTACTTAAGGTGACTGCTTCTTCGCTGTTGGTACCCGGTGGGAACAGGCGTGGGTCTTCACGCCTCTCTTATCTCCCGTCTCTTAACCCAGTGCACATTGGTTACCCCTTCACGTCTTTCCTGCAGAACACTTCACACTTATCTGACTGACTCCATCTCCAGACCTGCGGAGTTCTTAATTCCGAGACACTTTCTTATCCCATGTGGTTTACTCGCTTCCTTCTTTAATTGGCAAACTTCCCATTCGGCTTAATTCAAATGTAGGTCAAAACGCAGATTTCTAAACTATTCTTTGAATCCAACAAGAATGAGGAACACCTGTAAAATAGGATTGAAAGCGGTTTCTTCACCGAATTCTCACGTGGAAATCATTGCCCCTAGAGTCAAGAACCGCTGGCGCCCTCGCTTGTCTTGAAATGGGGTTACAATACTTACAACAGCATAAAATGCTTATTTTGCATTAAAACTGACAGCTTATTTGATGTACCAGTCCGGGTATGTTAACTAAAAAGTCAAGCGTATGTAGTCTTTCGATTGCATTAGATACAGCTAAATATGAGCAATGGCTGTTGCTCCAAAAACGGTTGTCAAGCTTGAGTCTATGTACAGTATAATCAACATGTGCCATGTTACAGTTAAATGGTTTACTGGTGGTTTGGGAAGGTGAATGAATGCAGCTCATGTTTTCTCCTTACTACCACCTCCCAAAACTAGGGTTTCACTAATAGAATAAAGGCATCTGCAAAGGAGAAAAAAAATGAGGTGAATTCGATAAAAAATGAAGTGTTTCATTTATCACAGAATAATAAACCATGCTCTATTTAAATAATAACAGGCACAGCAGTCAGTGGAGCAGATGTGTATCACCAAGGCTTTGATTGCAGATTCCCTTTTATGTGCCCTTCCTCCTTTTCAATGAAACACGAAAATGTAAAAGAAGCATGTTGTTGGTCCTAATTTGAAATCTATAACTTGCCCTGCAGGCCTGATGGTCTCTATGCTGAGCGTTTCCTGTTCCAGACAACTGCTCAGTAACACAAAGGTCACTTCACCCACGTGAAATATTCTGCCGATCTGAGAAGTTATTCTGAGGGTTATTGTTCAAATGCTTTTCATGCCAAGGAAAATGTCATTGAAGTCATAGATTAAATAAACACCAGCACAGTAGGAAAGCATTTCCACCAATTTAGTTCTAAATTTCTTGTGCAGTAAAGGCAGCGTCTTACTTTTACGTTCTCTGATGTCATTCTTAAGAAGTTCCTGTTATGACAAAAAAAACAACATTTATTTTTTTTAAAAATTGAATAGATTCCTGATGCGAAGCTGCACTCTGGAAGTGTACCATTTCTTGGATTTTTGTTGTTGTATTTGAAAATCTATTTTTACTTTTTGAATACTCCCTGCTGTACAGTAGCTCTGTAATCAGAAGCATGGGGTTTCCAGAAATGCAAGCCTGCTTGCGTGCAGAAATATGTCAGGCTTATGACAGAGGTTAGTGACATTAGGCGACACTAAAAAGATTAAATTTGTATTCATATTAGAAGCATGAAGTGTGATCTTTGTGTGCTGTGCTTGTTCTCACCATGTCCCAGATCTTCCCACCTTGCACAGCCACACAAGACTATTTTAATGGCTTTTATATTGCTCCTGTCTGTTTGCCCTCCAGTCATCGTGACCAGGGTGTCCTGTGTTAATGGTATAAGCTCTGGTTGTCACAAACATCACTAGAAAGAAGCAGATGTCTGGATAGATTGATTTGCAAAACTGTTATAGTTAATTAGTCCAAAAAAAATCTTTTAAAATGCTTTCTAAATGGTATCTGATGTAACTGCCCTAGTGTCACAGAAAGTTAAATATTCCTTTGCTGAAACCATGACAAGCAAGCCTTTATTGAAGCTGGTTTTATATAGTATGGGTAGTTGTTGTGTCATGTAATCATATTAATTTACAAATTTTGGAAATTTTATAATACATTTCAAAATAAATCGATCACTATAACATTAGATTGTTATCTACTCTATATTTGCAACAGGGCACATATTTATTTTTCTGTTGATCATTGATCACTTCTGTTACTGCTTTGTTTGAGTTTCTATAATTTTTACTTTGACTCTGTTGTTTAGCTTGAACTTTTTAGTTTAAACTATAGTAAGACAAAAATCCAAAATCCATGAGTATATTAACATATTTAAGGGAAAAGACAAACTTACCAAATTATTTTTTTACAGCGGTATAATGAAGTCAGGACTGAATGCTATTCTTGGCCCTACAGGAGGTGGGAAATCTTCGTAAGTAGCCCTTTATTTTCACTGGTTGACAGTGTTTTTTGCCTAATGTAATGGCCAAAAACAGACAAAACCCCTGATTTAGACATAAAATGGCACGAGTTGATTCACTTGAGATGAAGATATGAAAATATGCCAATTATGCATAATGGAATAAGCTATCATGTGCTTTTGTGTTTCTTACTTGATGTGAAAGTAAGGTTCCTAGGATCATTGTATCTTAAGCAGTGATGAACAAATGCACCAACCCACAAGCAAGACTTTACATACTGTAAATAATTAAAATTTTAAATTTTAAAAAAACGGTACAATATGTTGTAATCTAAAATATGTTCAAACTGATCATTTTAATTAAATCTACCTTGAAAAGAACATCATGAAAATTAAGAGACAATTAAAATGTTTTGGGTCCGTCAGTTTATACTCTTTTCCCCAAACTTCACACTCATGCATGAAAAGTAACAGGTTGTGTTTTACTAATGGTGTTTACTTAATGGTTCCCACTTCAGTAGAATCGTTCATAGGAATGCCGTTTGGTTCTCACTATCTCATAATGAAAACTATTTCATTTAGCCTTTAACACAGAAAATCAGATTTAATTTTGATTTAGAAATCAAAGCTGCATTAAGTGGAATCATTGAGCAGGCCACATTGTAAAACTCCAGAGTTCAGTTTGCTCAGGACAGCAGGGTTAACACCTCTGCTTTTTCTAAAAGTTTCACAGGATCTGTATAGACCATTTTGACTGACTGGATTATTTGCTTCTATAATGATTTTTCCCTCTGTGTTGTATAACTGTGTCAGGCTGCTGGATGTTCTGGCTGCAAGGAAGGACCCAGCAGGGTTGTCAGGTGACGTTCTCATTGATGGAGCCCCACAACCTTCAAATTTCAAATGTATCTCTGGCTATGTTGTCCAGGTGAGTAGATTTGTTTCAATCATCATTTTCTTTCTTCACCCCTTACATTCTTAAGGTTGAGCATTGTATCTGTTAGTGCTGAGGTGATGTGGCATCTGATATACAGTAGGAAAAAAAAACTTTCCTATTGTTATTCAAATATATTATTTCACCCCTTTAAAGAAAATCATCTTCTTCATAGAGTAATCAAGATCTTAGGAACCTTCCACAACAGGACAACATATCATTTTCAGGATGTTTTGACTTTGAAGTTGCTAAGCCTACTGTACCAATCCTGTTTTAAATGGTTGTCTAAAGGGGGCTTCCACACAGAGACCCAATTCAAAGGGCACATAAAAAACACAGCTTGCCAATAGGCTTATTTTATAGAATAACCTGCATCTGTTATTGTCTGCAATCACAAAAATAAGATGCAAGAAATCACCCAAATAAAATGTTACATTTCATGAAATCGCAGGGTTTTTTACATCGCCTTTTCAAAAAAATAATAATGTGTACTGCCAGTCAGCCATCTATTGTCAAAAGACATGGAATTATTAAATGAAAACTAAGCAACAATCAGGAAATCAAAGATGAAAGATTCAGTTATGGTAATGACTTTGAAAAGGGGAGAGTATATCTAGTCTCCCCATCCACACCCTAACCTCCACACACACATAAAAAGGACAAGGCTGAAATAGGATACACTGATTATGAAGGATCTTTCCAGAAAGAAATTGATGCATCAATAAGCTTCTTCAGACCAGAAGAGAACACTAAGCGGGTTGGACGACTCACCTGATCTTCCAGTACAGTATCTGCATCTGCCTGGTTTCTTCAACAGGATGACGTTATCATGGGCACCTTGACTGTCCGAGAAAACCTCCTCTTCTCAGCGGCTCTCCGCCTCCCCACATCCATCTCCTTCAAGGAGAAGGAGGAACGTGTGGACAATGTCCTGTCTGAACTTGGGCTGACCAAAGTGGCCAACTCCAAAGTGAGTGTGAATCCAGTTGTTCTCAAGTATATTTTTTTTAGGTCTGAAGCACTCTCTCTAAAAATATTTCTTTGCTGTCATTAAGACATTTGGCTTTTCTTACACATTTAAATTTTAAAATTTAAGAAGTTTAACATAATTGCATAAGAATCATTTGGTAGCTAGTAACTAATTGATCCAAGGATCTCATCAAGCCTTGTTGATAGCTTGTTCCAAACTCCCACAACACTTTGTGTAAAGTAGTGCCTCCTGTTCCCAGTTTGTCTCTTGTGTCATCTGATGTGTGTGTCACTTCATTCTGAATGTGAATCTAATTTTAATATAGCTTTGCAAGAAGTGAGCCATATGTTATCAAATTCCCTCCCATCTAGTCATTAGTCATTTTCCTAGTATAACACTATCACAAATAAAGTACAGACGTTTTAAACAACAGTACTTGGTTAACTGCTTTTGAAGCTAAGCAGGTGTGAGCCTTGTCAGTACCTGGATGTGAGACCTCCTGGGAAAAACTAAGGTTGCTGCTGAAAGAGATGTTAGTGGGGCCAGCAGGGGGCACTCACCCTGCGGTCCATGTGGGTCCTAATGCCCCAGTATAGTGACGGGGACGCTATACTGTAAACAGGCGCGTCCTGAGACGTAAAACCGAGGTCCTGACTCTCTGTGGTCATTAAAAATTCCAGGACATTTCTCAAAAAGAGTAGGGGTGTAACCCTGGCGTCCTGGCCAAATTTCCCATTGGCCCTTACCAATCATGGCCTCCTAATAATCCCCCTCTATGAATTGGCGTCATTACTCTGCTCTCCTCCCCACTGATAGCTTATGTGTGGTGAGCGTTCTGGCGCACTATGGCTGCCATCGCATCATCCAGGTGGATGCTGCACTTTGGTGGTGGTGGAGGGGAGTCCCCATTACCTGTAAAGCGCTTTGAGTGGAGTGTCCAGAAAAGCGCTGTATAAGTGTAAGGTATTATTATTATTATTATTATTATTATTATTATTACTAAATTAGTTCATTGACTTTTCCTCTGAAAATTCCTTAAATTAATGATTAGTCAGAACAAAGACCTAAAATGGAATGAAAAACCCTTGTTGATGATCTAAAAACTGGAACTCCAATGTAATTGATAATCTGATGATAGATATACATCTTAAGCCGTAAGCCTTCTTTTGTTAAGTGCGGTAGGCAGTGATATTCACAGACATGTTTTATTATCTTTTAATGAGTTGAAGAGAGTTCAGCAAGTGTTTTTTGTAACTTGGAACACTCCTACTATAAGTTGTGATATAAAACCATGTTTTTTTGTGAAAGAAAAATTTCCGTTTGTAAATCACTCCACAGTCTCTCATGCATCAGAGTTGTTCCTTAATTGTATGAAACTTTATTACGAGCTAGTGAATAATTATATATGAACAACAAACATTTGCTTTATTTAAATTATGCAAAATTACTTTTTAGTTCTACTTGTCCCCTTTCAGCCACACACTGGCACCGTCCAAATGATTCAACTCAAAAGATTTTGTAACTGCTCAAAAAAGAGTGCTAGACTGTAATACTGTTATGTTATGACAGATTTATTAAAAGGAAATATGAGCCTTGTTGTTGCTGAATTTCTACATTTCTGAAAAAAGTGTCATTTTCCTTAAGTGCTTGTGGATATTGTCATACGTTTGCAATGACACGTTATTAAGCTTTCTTTTCTTTGATTTTCTTCAAGTACCAATTGTTAACTGAAAAAAAGCCCAGTTTTCTCAGAAAAAAAGAAAACCCTAAAGCATATAAACTGGTATTTAACAGAGCTGATATATTATCTCAGGTCATTAGTGACTCTTTACATAGTAAAGAATGCTGCTGTGTGCACATTCATTTGTTGTGTACAAGGAAATGACCATGTGGCTCAACTTTGCAGTAACAAGAAATAGCTGTTGTCTTGTCCTTAACACGCTGTCACGGACAGCCAGGATAATACAGTGCTTGTTTCAGGTTGGCACACAACTGATCCGAGGTGTCTCTGGAGGAGAGAGGAAAAGAACAAATATTGGGATGGAGCTCATCACTGAGCCTCCTGTTTTATTCCTGGATGAACCCACTACGGGCCTAGATGCCAGCACTGCCAATGCTGTCCTTATTCTCTTGAAAAGGTACGAGTGGCTGTAGGTTTTCTTTGTAAAAGCAGTAAGCAAATGCTTTTGGTATTTTGACTCACTTTGCAGACAAACTTCTGTTGAGAAGCACAAGTAAAGAAATAAACAAAAACGCAGGCTTTAGTTTAAATTTTTTATTGTCATTCTTTTTATAATTTTTTTTTTCACAGAAGAATACCTTTCATCAGCATCATTTTGTATTTTAGACACATCTCAGCACATAATTCACTGTCTGTATCGTGATCTGAGAATTAGTCTTTCAATCTGTTGGAAATTATTGACTCATTAACAGAAGGCTGCTTCCTTCATTATTCTCTTTGAACTTTACACTGAAGTATAAAAATACTATGTAATGATTAACAACACAATAGGTTTGTCTCTCTGAATGTTGTGGAGGCATGCCAAGTAATTTAAGATTGGGCAGATTTGTTTAATGTCAAATTGTGGAATCCTAGTTTCAAAGATCAATATATGAAATGCACTAGATAAAATGGCTGCGGGAAGTGATAATACTTTTATTGATGCTGCTTGACTTATATGTTTGCATGAATATTACAATCGTAATGCTAATATGGCTTAATATTGTTTTCTTTGGACTCCTTCAGGCTCTCAAGAAGAGGGCGAACAATTATTTTGTCCATTCACCAGCCACGCTACTCAATATTTAAGCTGTTTGACAGTTTGACTTTATTGGCTTCTGGGAAAATGATGTACCATGGGCCAGCCAAATCTGCATTGGGATATTTCAAATCCCTTGGTAAGATCACTGGGAGATGGTTTTCATTTAACCACAGTAGTGGTTGGATAGGAATGCATAATCACATGGTTTATGACACTTTTTCTTTCAGGTTATGAATGTGAATCTTTCAACAATCCAGCTGATTTCTTTCTGGATGTGATTAACGGGGACTCTACAGCAGTAGCAGCAAGCAAGGACTTCAATGGTACTCTTATCAGGATTAGATTTTGATGGCTTCTCTATTGAAAGCAGTTGTTTTCCAGCCTGAAATTCAGACTGCATGCAACTGTAGTTTTAAGGTTCTAATAGTTTATGTAATGAATGTTTAAGTGTATATTTCAATCCTAAAAACTTCTATTAAATTATTTGGTAGAAAGATTAAATTCAGACCAAATGCCTTAAACAAAAATAAATCAGTTATTTGGTTTTGTTAGAAAATATTACATGTATTCTCCATTTTTCACACGCAGAAAGCTCAAAGGAAGATGACTTGGAAGCAGTCAAAATTCATGATCATGAAGCCGTTGACCAGAGTGTGGTGGAGAAACTCAGTGAGGCATATTTGAAGTCCTCAGAATATAGAAATGTGCAAGATGCCTTGAAGAAGATTGAAGCCGGCTTGGGGCAGAGGAAGAAGAGGAAGAAGCTTGTGTCGATCACATATGCCACCTCCTTCTTCACTCAGCTTCGCTGGGTGACCATGCGTGCCGTTAAGAACTTGATTCGGAACCCTCAGGCTTCGGTTGCACAGGTAGAAGCTTCACACTGGCCCGGTCTCTTCTTTTAGCCTCTTTCTGAAACTCCTTTCTTTAAAATATAGGTATTTTCCAATAAGGTAATAAGTAACAATATGACAAATAAAATCTCGTGAAAACATCTGTGGTCAATTTTGCAGGAAGTAAGAATCTAGCACATGAAAGAGAGGTTAAATTTGACAAACAGACCTAAGGCATTTCTTTTCTTACTTTTAACACTTCAAAGTTCTATATATGTACTGGTAACACTGAACTGCCCAGTACTTTGCAATGAATGGAGCCTGGTACAAAGGCTGTGTAACAAACTTAATCTTTAAAAGATCACTGCTGCTCAGAGTAATAATACTTTTTATATTAAAGATATATGACCCACGTGATTTTGTGATCCATAGAAGTATTGATGAGGTCTATTTTTTAACTGGCATAATATGCAAGAAAAAAAGCACTAACTCTGTCTTCCTGAAGTGTATAACCTGGCAGTAACAGAATTAACTTTTTTTTAATATCTCAGAATTGTTTTGCACAGAACAATGTTTTTTTGTTAATAAAAAAATCTATTTTTGTTTTTTTAGTCTTAGTAGACTTGTTTTCTTTGTGTTTTAGGTTTTAGTAGTTATTGTCCTGGGCCTAATTGTTGGTGCTATTTTCTTTGGAGTCAAACTCGATGCCAGTGGAATCCAGAACAGGTGAAACTCATTGTTGACCATTAGCAGAATAGCCTCATTGAAATTACAGATTACAGTTTCACCAAAATACCGTTTCACAGCTTTTATTTAGTGTAATACGTAAATCACAAAGACTAGGAGCAAAGGTGATAAATTCATTTGGAAAATAATCTGAAGTAATTTTACGTTTTCTAAAGTCTGTCAGATCTGAGAAGTAAGAGGCTAATGGAGAATAGCATAAATGATATTAGTATTACTTACAAATCTTTTTCTGGTATATTTTCACATATTAAACAGGTGGGGGAGTCAAAGGTAGTATCTACTAGGTTTCAGTGCAAAACATTCTAGAACATAGCTGAAAATATCAAAATATTATTCAGTAAACAAGGGGAGTGATAATGTCAATGATGTAATATTATTATCTTTATCTAAAATAGTCTATATATTTTTTTATTAAACTCCTTATAGCAATATTTTATGTTATGACTGCTTTGTTTATGTTTATTTGTTCCAGTGTGTAATTTATTAACAGAACTGTTAAAAAGATCATCTTGTTTTCAATGGTCTTCATCATCTTTTTCAGAGTGGGCTCCTTATTTTTTTTAACCACCAACCAATGCTTCTCCAGTGTGTCTGCAATTGAGCTTTTCATCACCGATAAGAAACTGTTCATGTAAGTATAAAAAATCTTAAAATTAATTCGTACAATCCATTTATTTTAAACAGAATGTTCTGTATTTTAGAATTAAATGTGATTTAAAATGCTATATGGATGTAAAAAATAGATAATGTCAAAGGCAAGATTTGCAGAAACTATACATGGCATTACTTTGTGTCTAACAGCCTTAACATTTTAAAATGCATGCTTTGACCCGCATGCTATTCGATCTCTTTCTGCAGCATGTCAGAACTCATCTCTCTGTTTTTGGTGTGGTTTTATATCTTTATAGCTATATCTAGTTCTGCGTCCATAATTTGCTGCATTCTGATTTGTGAAAATAATACAGCTATATTAGGAACATTATGTTAAGCAGAAGAGTGCCCTAACTCACTAGGTCTGAGAATCAAGTATGGGGAAGAGGTACAGTAGATGAGATATATTGACATGTAGGGACATATACGATTGCAACAAAGAATTATCAGTCTGTTGCTAAGCACACCACACTACTTAAATTCAAAAGAAATATAATAGACATATGAGACATACAGTATGTGACATTATTCAAAAGATGGGTTCCTTTCACTTGTAATGTATTTTATAGTAGATAAATTACAAAACAAACTCATCTATTTCTTGTCGTTATCCTGCAAGTTTGCTATTTGTTTTGTTCACGTATTCATTTTAAACCCTAGCCACCAGTACACCAGTGGATACTACAGACTGTCTGTCTATTTCATCTCATTACTGCTGGGAGACCTCATTCCAATGCGAACTTTGCCTGCAGTAATTTTCTCATTAATCACTTACTGGATGATAGGTAAGCCTTTAACTACAGTATCACCTCTTTTATTTGAGGGACTTTATTGTTTTTCCTCTATTGTGCTGTTATTAATAACTATTTAATTTAATATTTTCTATAGTTTTACCTTTGTTTTTTAAATTAACGTACTTCTATTTACAGTACATTACTGAATTAAATTGACAATGCTTTTTGATAATGACTCTTGAATATTCACAAGGTAATGTTGAAATAAATGGACAATGACAAAACTTGTAAGACACCTAAGACAGAATGCAAAACAATTGATATGACAAAACAAAAGAACCTTTTCCATGGAGACTCAAATACATAACACTAAAACCTAAAAGGTTAAGTGTATAAAATAGCTAGTTAGAACATGGGGAGGGACGTATCAACAAACAATAAGATGATAAGCTTATCTAACTAACAAAACAATACAAAGTGCAGCAACTAAACAGTAAATGTACGGATGAACTGTGACATAGTTACAATGATTTAATAATGTAGTTCAAGTGGGTAGCTGCGTCAGCATGTGTAGGCTACAAAGGAACAAGTATAGGTTTATTCCCTGCTGAAAAGAGAAGAAAGAAAACACAATGTTTTGGCTGTGGAGCCTTCTGGTGTCAATTATGATTTAATAATGACAACGTTTCATTGTTGTGTAATTACAGGCTACAAGAGAGAGCCTGGCAACTTCTTTTTCTTCATGTTCACACTGATAATGGTGTCCTACACAGCCACTTCAATGGGTCTTGCCATTAGTGCAGGAATGGATGTTGTTGGAATAGCAAACCTCATTATGACCATATGCTTTGTCCTCATGCTTGTGAGTACACTGAGATCCTCCATTACAGTAGCAGTGGCTATGTGATAAGATAAGATCACTTTATTAGCCTTATACAATTTCTTACATTAGGAATTTGTCCTTTCGGATACCCCAGCTTGCTCTCCACGAGACACACAGGCACACAGACAGAGTGCAACTAGGTATTAAACATATTACTATAACTAAACAAAGATATGAGATAAATGTTTGAAAAAGTCCTTTAAAGCACCAAAAAGCTAAACACTACAAATACTTTCATCTTGTGCACAATTCATTTATATTTTATTACTTTTGAAACCCAAACTGCTGTTTTTTAACAAACTGTCTAAGATAGATATCTAATCTTTTATGTCCTTGTTCAGCACTTAAATGTTTTACTTAAATGTAAATTCATCTGGTAATAAACAAATTGCATGGCTTTTTATATTCCTTTGAGTTCAGGGCTCTTGAGTTCAGGGCAAAGTTTGTGTGAAACAGTCCAATCTTTGTCACTTAAAAGGTGGTTAAGTATAGGTGAACTGGCTAGCTAAATGGACCTCTTTAATTTTTTGCCTTGGAAAAAGGACAGATTGGACAGAACTCAGTATGGAGACAACTGAAAAATCCCTGCCTTTTGCTGATGAATGATGAATTCAGGTCACAGAAACACCTTGCATCTCAAGTCATACTGTGGATGAAGAGAAGCACCTTAGTTGAAATATTATTACAAAATCATAGAGATATAGACCATGTTTGAAAAATCTAATTTCTTGAAAAAAGGGTCTGTATAAGAAGCTGAAACTCAAGAACACTTTTTCTCAAATTTTGCAGATCTTTTCTGGTCTGCTGGTGAACATCCCCTCTATAATGGACTGGCTCAACTGGCTAAAGTACTTCAGCATTCCGAGATACGGACTAACGGTAAGAAAATTAGACACTTTTGTGTCAATAGTGTTCTTGATGGAAGTTAATCAGTTTAAAAGTTTATTTCAAATGTCATTTTATAGCTACATGCTTGCTTGTTTTTTGAACAATGATGTCTGTTTTTAGACGTATGAATGTTAGATTTCTGTACTTTGCTTCCATAGTATGCTTCTATACTTTAAAAAAAAAACCTTCCATTTTCTTTTAAATATCTAATATAATATTTTACTTTTTTTTTTACTTCTGTCCCACAAAGCAAAGGATGCTTTCCTTGAAAGGCACTATAAGGTTTGATTGATGCAGAGTGTAAACTTTTAATTAAAGTATGTTTCTTTTATAGGCCCTAGAAGTGAATGAGTTCAGAGGCTTGTACTTCTGTGGAGAGAAGCAGAACAATACCATGAGCTTTGCAACAGCAATGTCAAACTGTTCACACAATGCGCAACAATTTGGAGCAGTGTACGTTTTTCATATTAAATCCAGTGATTTAAGATTGGCAAAAACTATTTTACTTAAGTTTTTTTCCTACATAAATACTTAAGGGAATACTTAAAATAGTAATATACATCTTAACCTTAGCATTCTCTAGAAGGAGATTCACTAAGGGCAAGGTAGACCTCAGCCACTTCCCTTAACAGTAACACTACTTCCAATATCATAGAAAATTGTTTTGAAGAACACAATTTGGTTGTTTGTTTTTTTTAGCTAAAACAATGTCTTAATTCACCTTATTCTAAAGGTGTTAAGTGTACTTTTATAACTTGCTGGGCACTTTTGTTGCTGCAGATGATAGAACATGATACGTAATATTAGTATCCAATCTGTTGTCCAAGATACCAAAAAAATAGTTTACCCATGATTATTAATTTTGACATCCTAGATGTAAACTTTTCTATTACATTCATTTTATTCATCTGTAGTAGGATAAAAGTTTTTTAAGTTAACCATTTTTGACACGTCTGAAAGCTTAATTCTGCTGTTCCCTCAACAGGTGTTATGGAGAGGCTTATCTCTGTGGACAGGGGATCAACTATAATGACTGGGCAATGTGGGAAAACATTGTTGCTTTGGCCTGCATGACCATAATCTTCTTGACCATCGCTTATATAAAGCTGAAAGTTATGAAAAAGTTCACATAACCTTTACCTTTTCTTGTAATGTTATCAGATTTTGTATGTGCTGTTAGGAGTGTTACAAGCACTGGAATCCATTAAGCACCTTAGAACACCTCAGCCTCTATGAAAGGGTATAAAATACATTTGATTAAGCTGTATGCAGAATGTTGTTTTGAAGCTGCTGCTCTGCATAATTACTGTATTCTTATCACAATCTAATGTAATGACATACTGTATACATGCTGGAACATTAGCAATTTTTCCTCAAGACTATCAGTGTAAGATCCTGTTCAAAAGGTCCATTCAAGACCATTTTTATGCAACTAATTGGAATACATATCTCAAGCACTGAAGAAAAATGTCAGAACTCAAACATCTTGATTTTTAAGCATCTTATACCAGATATTCAGCATTTAAACACAGTGTAGGACAATGCATTCATCATTAGTCAATTAAAGAACAAGATGCCACTTGTTTACAAAATTTTTATTTTCTTGTAAAGGCAGATCAAATGGCAAAATCATTGTGTAAGGTCCTGCATAAATGAACTTACAAAAGATTTCAGAAAGCTTCATTATAAAAGGCATTTTTCCCCATATAAGGAGCCAGTAGAAGAACCTAAGGTCTGTCATAAGCTGCATTTTAGTTTGTCTGTAAATATACTGTACTAACTTTCATGTATCAATGGATGAGACAGAACTAATGTAACCTGCTATTTGAATGTATTAAGACTAACTTTTTTTCTGTAATAGTCAATTAAATTGGGGAAATAACTGGTTGTGCCAAATGCAACCACACTGCCATCTACTGGATTGTTTTCTCATAAATCGACCATACCATATAAAAGGTTTCCATACCTTTAACTGAACACTTGGCTAAAGACAGTCTTTTAGTATGCATTACACTTTAGTTTCCAAGTTAAATTTTTATTCCATGAAACATTTAATTTCTACAGGTAGGTTAATAGTAACTGTGCAGTGCACCCTGAAAAATGTTTTGCTTTGTAGACCTTTTTATCCAACATGGAATACTATACTTTCTCAGAAGTGAAAAGTAAATTGTCAACTGCAGATAAATGAATTCTTACCAAATTGATACATTTACTTTAACCTTTCAGCCAAAATACTTAGTCAAAAAAAAAGAAGTTAACAGACAGGAACTGATTTGTAAGGGGTTTATTTCTGTTCACTTGTGCATTCTTTAAAGAGACTGATGTGCTACTCTGTGCACGTCAAGTCTCCCATCCAGCTCCACTAAACATTCCCTTTACCAGAACTGGCATCCAGTTTCACAGTAGAAATGCAAGAATTTTACAGGACTGGAAAAGTCTACTAAAAGCCATATTAAATGAGTAATTTAAAAGCCACTTTGGACAGATGTTAATGCTGAAGTGCATAAAGGCACTAAAAATCTTTAACTTTCTTATGAATTGAAAGAAAAATGCATAAGAACCTGTTAGGTCCAGAGGAAAATGCTTGCTACGGATCCACATTTAAGCACAAAAGTGGAACAGCATAGTAACCAGTTTTGCTTTCAGCTATAGAAAAATATCAAAACCCCACCCTGTCACAGTATTTATACATAAATCAGACTGCAAAATCAAGTACAGCTTTACAACAGTCATCTGTCCAGTTAGCTCCAACGGCAGCTGGCTACCATGATTCTTCCAAAGCTTGATGAGGTCAGTGCATTCTTGTACTTTCCCCAAGCTCCAAATGGTACCACTAAAGTAGTCGCATTATCTTGTGTTCCATATAGCAAAGCCTGAAGAAACAGACAAAATCACCATTAAATTATATTGAGGAGGGAAAAAAAATCCTATGGAAGTCAAACACTTTTAAAACTCTTATTTCCACTTACCTGATCAGTTACAATAAGAGAAGCTTCTGAAGGGTCCTGGCACTTTTTCACAATATCACACATTTCCTGTCCTTCCATGATCCCACTGACGCCATCAGTCGTTAAAACCAGGAAGCAGTCCTTTGAATGCTGCAGCTGGAATACATCAAACATACTTCAGACCTTGTATCACAAATCAGAAACAGGAGATCAGACCTGAAATGACATTTTAGAAGACTCATACCTTCACTGTTGTAATCTCGGGCTGTGCAATCACTCCATAGGGCTTCACCTGGAAGTCGCCAATGCTTCGCGTCATTGCCAGCCTCCCATTTACATAAGGATCACCAGCGCTGTTCCACTCAATGATGCCGCCACACTGCAGAATTCTAAAAGGACAGTTCAAGCCCATTAGAATAGCAGGCTCTTCTAATGTAAAAATTGGGATTCTCTCCCTAATAAATAAGAATTCCAAATAGACTTGGCAAGATTTTTACAGTCTTAGTTATTGGAGGGAAGGAATTAATCATCCAACAATGAAGCGGGGCCAGCAGCCATATCACCCTGCAGCTCTCAACTGGCTACCCACTGAAGCTAAGCAAGATTGAGCCTGGTCAGTACCTGAATGGGAGACCTCTGGGAAGTTATGGTTGCTGCTGGAAGTGGTGTTGGTGGGACCAGTAGGGGGCACCTACCCTGCGGTCTGTGTGGGTCCTAATGCCCCAGTATAGTGGCAGGGACACTATACTGTAGTGGGTGCCATCTTTTGGATGAGAAGTTAAACCGAGGTCCTGACTCTCAGTGGTCATTAAAGATCCCTGGGCATTTCTCGATAAGAGTAGGGAGTTATCCCAGTGTCTAGGCCAAATTACCATGGCCTCCAAATTGTCCCCATGCACTTGCGTCCCATCCAGGGTGTAGCCTGCTGGGAAGGCTCTGGCTTCCCGTTGCACCGTATGGCATAAAGCAGTTTAGTAAATGACATGACAACAATTAAGTCAGATTGGAAAAAAAAAAAGTTACTACACAAGGCAAAAGCACATAACACGCCTTACCTTTGCCTTTCATCCTTTCGCCTGGGACTGTGGTCTTCGGTTAAGCTCTCTGCTTTCCCTTCTCGACACAGGACAGCTGGGCTGTCTCCCACGCTGGCAACCACAAGCTCCGTCTCATTCCGTAGCAAAGCAACTGTTGCTGTTGTTCCAACAAAGAGCGGGGGATCTAAAGAAAGCAGACAAGATGTTAAAACTCTTGTACAGAAGAACAAGCCACTATAAGGACTACTCTAATGACTGAAATTAGTCTTTACAATAAATCTACAGTATAAAATGGGAAAAAAAAAGTCAGGGCTTTAACCCCTAGCAAAGTTAACTTTCAGAAGAGTAAGTTGAGTCTGGGACTATAAAATGTATTCTGAAATACATGTACTGTGGTATTTTTAAATGTGTTTTTGAAGAATTACCACTTTGCTTTACATTCGAATTTGGAGAATTCTACATCTGCACACTTTATGGGCAAACATTGTTTTTTTTATTGTATGTGTACAACTGCTCAAAAGAAGAGAGAACTCACAAGGAGTTTACATGGTTTTTAAAAAACATTCGCAGTCTTCTGTAGTCCAGACATGGAACCGCTGGACTCCATCACCTAGGTTGAAATATAAAAGTAGTAACAAGACACAAAGCAGCCAGCTCTGGCTATTCAAATGCTTGTTAATTTCATAAAACATCCCTATTCCATTCTACAGATCCCTTTGTTTTTAAGTCAAGCAAAGCAAAAGATGTAGCACAGGGACTAGAGCTGTTTAATTATTTTGCAATCAGCCAAAGAAATAAAAATGCAAAATGAACATCACACATTCCAGACCAAGATGCATCACAAAAGTTCTGCTTTGACAGGAATGTCCAAATCTTAAAAGCAAGACCCAAAGGCCTTGAATTTATCACTACAAAAAGGTAGACTATACCTGCAGTATTTACTGAAATAAATGTCCTGTATATAGCCAGGACATTCTCAGCATCTTAACTATTAAAAGTATAAACTACCTAATAATCTAACACTCACACATGGGAAAAGACAACTTGTTCCAGATTCTTTATGTTTAAGCACCAACAATGTTAGCGGGGGGAAAAAGCTGCAATAAATTCCTGTCATGGGGATTTTTCACATGCAGCCCAGGATGATCAAAGAAGTCAACAAGGGACCACTAACGCACATTAAGGATGTAACCGGTCCCTTGCACATACCATCACAAGAAAAGAAATGTCTTCAGTAAACATGAGGAACCCAGCACTGACCATAAGGTAACCATTTCAAATGCATGTTTACCTGAAGGAGCTCGTTTTTTCCTCCATTAGAGGAAGATGGAGCATTAAAAACCAAGGCTGGGTGCATGTCAAATTACTTTGGGCCCCAAAACAAAGCTAGAACATGCATGCAGATATTGGCAAGCTGCCAAGGAGACATTTCAAGGAAATAAAATGAGATGCAGTCCCTCTTATAAATGTCCAGACACGTCCCCAACTACCACATCAAGATGCAAAGCACCCTCTCAAGAAAAGGAAAAAAAAAATCTCACCTTCTCCTAAACTGCATATGTGCTGCAGAAAGGCACCATCGATTTGCAGAAAGGACTTCTCTAGGACCGACTCAAGATCAGACTCAAACTGGAGGTTTCTCCTGTGGTGGAAAGACAGTTATCTCAAAACTGAGGGGAAAAAAAACGATTTTTGGGGATTTGAGCTTCAAGCTTAATTACTGAAGGTTCATTAATTGCACAAACGGCACCCAAAGAGTGGACGGTACTCACTGGATGAAATGGCTGAAGTGCCGGGAGCAGAACTCGGCGGCGGCAGCCCCACCGTGCCCGTCGAAAACGGCGAATAAGAACAGATCGTCGGCCAGCTGGGCCACCCTGTAGCGGTCCTCGTTCTCTTTCCTCTTGCCCATCTGACTGGCGCAACCAAAGCTGGGGACACTGGCTTTCTTCAGAGCCTGTCCGCCCTCGCCTGAACGAGGCGGCAGAACTACGGGCTCGTCCAGCCAAATCCCAAAACTGTCCCAGGCGGCCGGCTGCTGGAGCCGCCTTTCTGCCGCGGCGGCCAAGTTCTTCCTCCCGCCGGTGGAGGAGATGCAGCGGGCGAGGGAGGGGCAAGGAGACATCGGCCGGGAGGCGCTGCTCCTCGCTGCTCGGCTGGCCACAACCCTGCCGTGCCGGAAGAATGCGATGGCGATGGCAGACATAACCGTTTCAAGCTTTTTTTTTCTCTCCACAAACGGGGATCAAACTACAAAACAAGAAGAGGTGCAACTAGAATACAGTATAGGTTACATCGGCGGTAGTTAGAAAAGAAATGCAACCGCAAGTTGATGCAAGTTTAGATTTAACGCAAATGTGGACGACACATACATTTACAATAAGATGTATTCGTACTGCGATGTAAAGCAGTCGACTACCGCGAAACCTGGTTAACCCGAAACCCTGGTCAAGCTTACTTGGCAACAGCCGCTTCACGCCACATCGACCCCTAGACAAGCCACTGCAAAATGTTAAGTATTTCTGCAGATCGGCGCGATGTATAAAACTGTAGCCGCCCACATCCGTCTGCTTCCGAAGAACTTCGCAACGGACGGTACAAAACCCGCGGTCGTAATCTGCAAAAATTAAAACCTTTCTGGAAAGTCCCTACTCCTATCGCCACCGCTCTATTAGCCTGCTTTAGATTATGATCACCGAAACTAACATTAAAATCTTATTTCCCTTTATGCACAGTAATAACAAAATGAAACATACTGTCATACATATTATAGCAATAAAAAAAATGCCTAATGTAGCCGCCGGTAACTCACTTGGTCTCCTTTGCGTTGCCGAGCAGCTGGTATGTTCTAGAGCGCTCTACCGACACCTCTCTGTCCAGCACGCAAGGTTTTATATCTTACGTCTCTGCGGCTTGATCTACGCCGTAGTGCTAAGGCACCGACAGCGCGGAAGACTTTTATGCGAGTCATCCGGTTCGTCTCTTTGAGTGTTGGGCATGCGCGTTGATGTGGGCGTTGTTTAAGGCGCAGAATAGCGGTGTAACGCCTTTGTAAAATGTTAGAGAAGGTCTATATTGGCACAAAACAAATGAAAACTATGCAGGCATCCTACATGCAAATGAACCCATCACACCCATGTATCTTTCTCTTGCTAATTTACACAGTGGCGTCAGTCATTTTCAAAGGAATTTGATGGTATCTCACTAAAACCTGTATTGTAGTTTAAACTGATAACTATGCCGAAATAACACGGTGGAGCATAATAAAAATATACAGAAATCTATTTTAGTTTTTAAAAGACAGAAATTAAAACTAGTTGTCCCAAAAATACAAAGAAAATTTGGAAATGGCAAAAGATTCGATTATGTTTTAAACCTCTGTTTTGAAAATAAGACTCAGCAAACTGATAGATGTTGAAAATAATTATTCTAAAACAGATCTCTGAGATCGAAACAAGTGTGAAATGAATGCAATTAGTTCTGAGTTTCTTTTGTTCGCCTTTATAAAACTGAAATACGAGAGCGCTCCCCGATTTTTTTTGCATCTGTATTTAATTAGCAGAACTACAAGCAAATGCGATTCTTGTCAGTACTATTTCTCTCTTGTACTTCTACTGTGCATCCATTTTACAGACATGTTACCATCGTAATTTATGTATATTGTATATATGTATATGTACAGTATGTGCAGTACATTGCCTCCATTGCATGTGTATAGGAGCAGCCTATTTTAAAGTTTATTATTCATCCTGTACTTTGACATTTTCAACAATCTGGGCCAAACAGCTTATTTAAATTATATCTAAAATATAGTTATACCTCGTTTCTGAACTGTTTGCAAATCATATCAGAAGCCTGATATGTACAACACATTTATCGTATTTTTTTACAAAAAACTTCACTTTGCAGGTGGAGAGCAAATTTCTACCAATAAGTGACTGAACAAGTTTGTAGTAATGGAGGCCTCTGCAAATCCCTAAAGGCAAACATCAACATTTCACCTTTCTGTACAGCTCTTTCTTAGTTGTTGTGTGGGTGTTGTCTCTACACATGCGATGATTGGTGGAAACTAACTCCCTTTTTAACCCCGCTCCCAGTGTGTGGAAATGTTAGAAAAAAGAACTGTTTGCCAGGTTGGCTCCATCTCTTAAATTATCCAGTTACACCTGGAGAGCTTCCAAAAATCTATAATTCTACACACTGTTTTACAAGCACGAAATGATCTGGCAGCTTTTCTAATTTCTCCAGACAGGAAAATGTAGCCATCCATTTCTTCCATTTTGGTTGAAGTCCCATAATTCCAAAGTTAAGGACAGACCTCATACTGAGCAGCTGTATTTCCCAGTTAGACTTAGTAGGCAGCAATATTTAATGTTCATTTATAGTATCAGAGAGACTTGAAACAAGAAAAAATAATTATGTACAGATTGAATTCAACTGGTTTTTGAAAAGCTTAATGCGTTGTCAAAGGCTGTGTCCTATAAGATAAGCCTTATGCTTGACAAATCTGTTACTGGTATTACAAATTATTTGATAAAGACTCTAACAGAAGTCAGGATAAATGTGTACAGTGTTCTACCTTACATTCACATTGGGTCCAAATATCATCTGGTCTTTGTTGCTCAGAAATATAAAACTGAAGGAATAAGGTACTGCTCCAATACATATTTCTAGCATGTTTCAGCAGGTTTCAGAGTAATTAGCAACCAAAAGGACTAGAGAGCCAAACAACCTGCCCTTGATTGTAGCCCTTCATACAGTAGTTGGTATTTATTTCCTTATGAATAAGTCAGCATTCAAATGTAAATTGTAATGTTAAGCATTGCAGGAACCTGCAGAGCCTGTTTGTTAACTTACTCTGCCTTCTCAAGCATTCTTATGACATTGCATCTTATTCACTCAAAAGCTGTAAACTGTAAAAAAAACTGTAATTAAGCTAGATAAGTTAGAATAATTTCATGGTGGAAGAGCATTTATTGTTCTATTTATCTGTGTTCAGTGTCATCCACGTTTATGCTGGCTGAATACACAAAAGCACAGTATACTGTGACCCATTTATGTTTTATCTTATTTGTTATTGCAAGCATTTACCCCATAAATGCTGTAGAAATAGCCAGCTGAAGTGAATAGTTAATCACGTCTCATCTAACCCATCTTAATCACTTTAATCGTGTGTACTGTTTTCTTCTTTGAAACTGAATAAAATTAATATTTCAAACAAAACAATTATATGCATATTACCATACAATCCCAAATTCTGTAAGAAATTGAAAAAATCTATAATGAAATGTGAAATAACTGCTGGCTTTCTATTTGGAATGAATCAGCTGGCTGACAGCTGTACACTGCTCAGCACATCAAGTGCTCCCGTGAGCTCCCACACTCACAGATTCTGGTTGAAGAGTTGCATCAGCTGTGCATTGCTTTAGCCTGTCTGTTAATCAGCTTGAAGATCATCTGACATACTGCTAAAGATGATAACTTCCTGGTTTGCAGACATAGGATGGAATCAATCCTTCACCCTACATATTCTATCTTATTTCTCCTTCACCCAAAATATACTGGTTTATTTCTCCTTCACCCTACATATTCTGGTTATTTTTTTGCAATTGTCTTGCAATTTACAGGAGCCTTTGAAAATTATATTTCCACCAGCCTGCATTTGTGGTGCCCTTTTATTCTAGAATTATTTTATTAGCATCACCGTGGGACACGTATGGAATACCTAAAGTATAATATTTAACTCATGCTATATGTCTACCTACAATCATAGAGAGAACCTGAATCCCATTAAAATGATTGTTTGTGGATCTTCAGATCAGAGAATTAAGTTTCCTTTGCATTAATTTTTTAACATGATTTCATCATTTCTTGCATCCATTTTAACATGATGGAACATGCACAGACCAAATATAGATATGAAATAAGCATTCCTTGGGGAGTTTGGATAGAAGAAAGAATTTATCATTATAATAAATCTGTCAAACAAAAGGTAGGCTGTTTGCTTTAGTAATCTTCTATATTGTAGACTTTCCTAGTCCTTGCTACTTTTTTTGTACATGAACTCAGTGAACTCACGTTTTCCTTTGGTGGGTATTTCAGAAGACGGTAGGAGAGCTAAAGGAATGACATGGCCCAGTGTTGTATTACTAGAAAAGTAGTCCCTGTCTGCCTTTTTTTCATCTGGCGCAATAAATGAAGCAGAATACACATCCATTGAAAAAGTGTTTTAAAAAATGGCCTAGTGTTTAGTTCATGTTTTTATTTTGTCTTCACATTTCTAACAATTGTTCTCACATTTTAAACATAGGTCCTTGTGTGGAGGGGAAGGAAAGGGTTAAAGGTAATGGAATGGAGAGTCTTGGGCCTTTTTTTCTGGTTCCCTTCTTGACTTAGTAGTGCGGGGAGCCATTCCCTGTGTGCACACACTCTCTGAAGCTTGGGAACAGATTGAACTCAAAGGCATCACCAACACGCATGTCTTGCTTGCACCCACAGCTCCAGCATTATCTGGGAATGGCTGTACAGAATGCAGTAAAGGAAAGTAATTATTTTAAGCTAAACTTTCAATAAAAATAAGATAGATTTTTCTGAAATTCAATCCAAAGACAACGTGCAATTTCACTGCTTCAGTAAAAAAAAAACATTTCTTATTAAAAAACATTTTTTTTGTAAACAATATAAGCAACTAAAGGTTAATGTCCCTGCAATGTATGAATTTTAAATGATTGTGTCAAAATGTTAAAATAGTTCTGTAAAAGGGACACAATTTAGGGACAAACTTTAAACAGAAAAAAAAAAATTAAAGCACATCCTTCTTTAAATACGTCAGGCCCAATTGGCTGTACCACAGAATAAAATATTCAATATTTTATTCGCAGAGGAACAAGTAAAGGTCTATTCCATGTGAAAGGAAAAGAATATAGCCATGCAGTTTCGATTGTGGAGCCTTCTCTACACCTGAAAAGACACAACTTTCCTTCACACCTGACAAAGACTTCACTGCCGAAACTTTGCGTCTCTATTCTTTTGCTTTCCGCATGGAAAAAAACCTTTTCCTTGTTCTTTGCAGCCTGCGCATGCTGACGCAGCTATCTACTCAAACTTCAGTATTTTATTTGACCTATTTTAATTATTTACATTTTAAGAGATAAAGTGAAGAAATCAATTTTTGTAGCTTTTCCATTGCTTCCAAACATCAGACTTATAAATCAAAGATCTTGACAATTGAAAAGAGTCTCACCCTAATGATTCTCTTATCTTGATTATCTTTTACCTATTTTGCTTCACAGACCCCATGTTCCTCTTTCACATCCCTGCTCTCCCCCTCTCTGCTGTACACATCTGAAGATGCTTCACAGGTGAAGCATCATATTTGACCCTTTCTACTTTTCCATGAAGAATAAACTATGGTTTCTCTCATTATAAATACAAATGAGTAAATTCATTTAGTCTGAAGAAAAGCAATCAGGTGTCATAAGTTTTTGTTTTCTACAATAAGAGAGAAATACATACATTTCTTAGTTCAAGAAGGAATCAAATATTTCTTGTAGAGTATCTACATTTGTAACTATTTCATTCTCAGGTCCTAAATAGAGTACATTCTTTCAGAAAAAGTCCTCAAGCAGAGCCTCTCTAATTGGCACCAATGTGGTCCTGTTGAAGACACATCAACCACAGTTCATTAATGGTGATGTAAGTCATGGACTAAGTCCAATCTCAAAGAGGAGTTTCTCTCTTTTGGAGCAAAGATTGGTGTACCTTCTCAAATATTATGACTAGTCTCTCAGTGATATGCAAAACCAAGGTATTGCAAGGCACAACAAACAGAAACACAGACACAAACATTTTGTGCCTTACCAAGATAAATATATATTGATCTATACAGTGGAGGTCTAAGCAACAGGGTAAAAGAACAA